GGGTTAGCCAACTCTGAATATTTAGCCTGGAGGCTCTGTGCCTTCAGTCCTGGTTCTGCATCATTTCCATGCCCCCATCGTTTTAACTGGCCTATCATTTCCAAAATGTCAGCTCACAAAAGATGTGATGCTACTGTAAATCAGGCATGTCAGTCAGTTTTGCTGAAGGGCCATTTATATTAATGCAAACATCAGGTGAGTCAGACAAGTGTTAAAAAAAAGAAAATAAATCAATAAAACACCTCTGCTTACATATGTAAAAAGCTCACATCCACATCGATGGGGCTGTAGTAGAGTGGGTCGAGAGCTTCAAGTTCCTCTGTGTCCACATCTCTAAGGAATTAACATGGGCCACTCCTCTTCCCTCTGAGGAGGCTGAAAAGATTTGGCATGGGCCTTCAGATCCTCAAAGTTCTACAGCTGCACCATTGAAAGCATCTTGACTGGCTGAATCACCGTTTGGCACGGCAACTGCATGGCACCCGAGCGCAAGGCGTTGGAGGGTGGTGACTCTATGCTCACACATAGTTACACTGACACCAATACACACACACAATATATGCCCACACACACACACCACCGACGCCTCACACACACACACAATTTCACACTCACCACATACGCTGCTGCTACGGTCTATCCTGTTGCCTAGTCACTTTAACCCTACCTACAGTTGAAGTCGAAGTTTACATACACCTTAGCCAAATACATTTAAACTCAGTTTTTCACAATTCCTAACATTTATCCTAGTAAAAGTTCCCTGTCTTAGGTCAGTTAGGATCACCACTTTATTTTAAGAATGTGAAATGTCAGAATAATAGTAGAGAGAATGATTTATTTCAGCTTTTATTTATTTCATCACATTCCCAGTGGGTCAGAAGTTTAAATATACTCAATTAGTATTTGGTAGCATTGCCTTTAAATTGTTTAACTTGGGTCAAAGTTTCGGGTAGCCTTCCACAAGCTTCCCACAATAAGTTGGGTGAATTTTGGCCCATTCCTCCTGACAGAGCTGGTGTAACTGAGTCAGGTTTGTAGGCCTCCTTGCTTACACGCTTTTTCAGTTCTGCCCACAAATGTTCTATAGGATTGAGGTCAGGGCTTTGTGATGGCCACTCCAATACCTTGACTTTGTTGTCCTTAGGCCATTTTGCCACAACTTTGGAAGTATGCTTGGGGTCATTGTCCATTTGGAAGACCCATTTGCGACCAAGGTTTAACTTCCTGACTGATGTGTTGAGATGTTGCTTCAATATATCCACATAATTTTCCTCATGATGCCATCTATTTAGTGAAGTGCACCAGTCCCTCCTGCAGCAAAACACCCCCACAGTATGATGCTGCCACCCCCGTGCTTCACGGTTGGGATGGTGTTCTTCGGCTTGCAAGCGTTCCCCTTTTTCCTCAAAACATAACGATGGTCATTATGGCCAAACAGTTCTATTTTTGTTTCATCAGACCAGAGGACATTTCTCCAAAAAGTATGATCTTTGTCCCCATGTGCAGTTGCAAACTGTAGTCTGGCTTTTTTATTTTGGAGCAGTGGCTTCTTCCTTGCTGAGCGGCCATTCAGGTTATGCCGATATAGGACTCGTTTTACTGTGGATATAGATACTTTTGTACCTGTTTCCTCCAGCATCTTCACAAGGTCCTTTGCTGTTGTTGATTTGCAAAGTACATTCATCTCTAGGATACAGAACGCGTCTCCTTCCTGAGCGGTATAATGGCTGCGTGGTCCCATGGTGTTTATACTTGTATACTATTGTTTGTACAGATGAACGTGGTACTTTCAGGATTTGGAAATTGCTCCCAAGGATGAACCAGACTTGTGGAGGTCTACAATTTTTTTTCTGATTTCTTTTGATTTTCCCATGATGTCAAGCAAAGAGGCACTGAGTTTGAAGGTAGGCCTTGAAATACATCCACAGATACACCTCCAATTGACTCAAATTATGTCAATTAGCCTATCAGAAGCTTCTAAAGCCATGACATCATTTTCTGGAATTTTCCAAGCTGTTTAAAGGCACAGTCAACTTAAGTGAAATAATCTGTCTGTAAACAAATGTTGGAAAAATTACTTGTGTCATGCACAAAGTAGATGTCCTAACCGACTTGCCAAAACTATTTGTGGAGTGGTTGAAAAACGAGTTTTAATGACTCCAACTTAAGTGTATGTAAACGTCCGACTTCAACTGTATATGTACATAGGTACCTCAATTACCTCGTACTCATGCACATCAATTCTGCACTGGTACTCCCTGTATATGTTATTTTTACTCGTTATTCACTGTGTATTTATTTCTTGTGTCACTATTTCTGTTTGTTTATCTTTAACTCTGCATTGTTGGAAAAGGATCCGTAAGTAAGCATTTCACTTAGTTGAAGCATGTTTACGAAGCATGTGACAAATAACATTTGATTGGATTTTTTATTTATTTGATGCATACATGTTAGGCGCACATGGGGGCAGCAATAAATCAGATTGGGGGCTGCATGTTTGACACCCCTGCTGTAAATAGGGGTTGTTGATTAAGCTGTTTCTTCAAAGCGTTTAGGTGTTGAGTACGCCTGTCGTAAAGGTGGAGCTGTCGGTGAGGCCCCGTCTCTGGTGTTTTGTCTGCCTTGCTTGGGGACTTCCCGTCCTGTTCCTCCCTGTCTGTCCTGGTTCCTGGCTGGACCCTGAGGCAGCTGTGGTGATAAACCTGCAGGATTACGGGGCCTGTTTGCCCTGAACAGCACACACTCACACAGGATTAGACGGACAGGAGCCACTCTATCCTCTAGCACCACCACAGTCCCTCAGGGACAGCACCAGAGGGGAGATAATGGAGGAAGAAAGTGAAAGGGAAGACAATGGGGATGAGAGTCAGTGGAATATGGGGAAAGTATTGGTGAAAAGGGGAAGGTTCTCATTAGAGCAGTCATCCTACTATCCTGACTGCGTAATGCTATTGGAAATAACGATGCTGAGTAAATGTAGAGAGTGAAAGTGTTCCAGTATTTTATGCCCCTTTATCTACAGCACATACATACTTTACTGTGGGTTATACAATGACATTAGGGTTGATATTTTTCTGTCAGCTGTCCAGCCAAAATTATAATTTTAACAGTCTAGATGAAAATAATAACTTTTTTGACATTTTATCAGGTAACAAAAATGTAAATGCCTAAATGTCCTTTTCTCTACTGTACTTAGTTTTTTGTTTAGATTACCTAATGTATAATAACTGATATGTACCATGTTTGACTATGAATGTTTTATGTGTCTCAATTCTATTTTAGTGGTCCACAATGTGGTTTATTGTCAATTATTTTATCATTGTGAAGTGACACTTAGAAGAAAAAATGACATAGTAGTTTTTTTGTTGCGTGTAAACAAACAGGTGACCTCTGTTGGATAGAAGTTGCAACTGCATCCCATGAGAAGGGCACAATTAATGAATGAACATTTAGTAAATGTCTCCTCCATGAGGTTGACAAGTGAATTGCTTCTTATGACGGGTTGAGGAAGTAGCTGGTTTAAGTACAAAGTGATGAAAGACACTAAGGTGACTCAATACACAGAACCCCTTTTAATCTTAAAAATGCAATATATATATAGAAATCTCCAGGTTATTCATAGATAAATCAGAATCACTTTTATTCGCCAAATGCGTTAGCATGTACAGGAATTTGACTCTGTGAAATGGTACTGCCACAATAAACAGAATATACAGACAGACAAACAGAATATACGGACAAGCTATATAGACGCAGAATTTACACAATCCACATACAGTATGTAGACAATGAACAACATGCTAAAAACTACAGACTACACTATAAATACTATAAGCTACATTATGAATTGTACATGTATAGCTGTATAAATAAAGCAATTTACGGGATGATGTGCTATAGGGGAAATATACACTCACCGGCCAGTTCACGAAAATGGATCGCTCCTACAGAGTGAGTCACGTGGCCGTGGCTTGCTATATAAAGCAAGCAGACAGGCATCGAGGCATTCAGTTACTGTTCGATTGAACGTTACAATGGGCAAGTGACCTAAGCGAATTAGAATGTGGTATGATCGTCGGGGCCAGGAACGCCGGAAACAATATCTCAGAAACGGCCGCACTCCTGGGCTTTACACACATGACAGGTTCTAGTGTTTACCGAGAATGGTGCGACAAATAAAAAACATCCAGTCAGCAGCAGTCCTGTGGGCGAAAACAGCTTGTTGATGAGAGAGGTCGAAGGAGATTGGCAAGAATCATGCAAGCTAACAGGAGGGCCACAAACAGACAAATAACGGTGCAGTACAACAGTGGTGTGCAGAATGGCATCTCGGAAGTCACAACTCATCGATCTTGGTCACAGATGGGCTATTGCAGCAGATGACCACACCGGGAGCAATGTGCAGTTCTATGAAAGTGCAGGGTGCCTAGTCCATGAATGAGGAGATAATTGTGACTGGTTGGTAAGGGCCACGGCATGGGGGAAGAAGCTGTTCAGGTGGGGGGATGTTTTGGTCGTGATTGACCTGAACTGTTTGCCAGTGGGGAGTCTTTGGAAGAGAAAAATCACTTCAATGTTATCAATGCACATAACCATATTCCAGGTATACATACAGGACAAACACAAGCGTGTATCTCGCAAATAAATAAATAGATTGCATTGACCATGCTCTTTGAACTGATTTGAGCCAATCAATTTTGTTCTTTTGATTCACCAGCACTATAGAATAACCAACAATTAGCAAATACAGTACCATTGAAATAAAATAAAATATTGCTATTACAGCAAGCTTTCAAAATCACATGAAGTACAACACCGTAAAGTGAATGAAACTGACATGTAAATGCATGTGCCAAATACTGTTTGGCATTATCTAGCACTGACTTTGCTGATAGCTACTATTTTTTTTGTTGCTTACTATGACTGTGAGATGCGGTTGTCGCTCTTAGCTACCTTAAGATTAATACACTAACTGTTAGTTGCTCTGAATAAGAGCATCTGCTAAATGACTAAAATGTCAAATGCATAATGTGTCGAAAAAATTGAAGGGATTGAAAATATGTATTTCAAAAAGACATGAAGGAAGTGCAACCCTACTCAAAGATTCAGTTGTTCTAACAAACATGCAAAAGCCACAAACAAAACATCACACAATAGACAGCACTAAGCATTAAAACCACTAATGCTGGTTAAAATCTCTAAAGGCACGGGGTAGTTGACTTTTCCCCTAGCTACAGGGCAGTGAGGGTACTATCTCATGTTTCAGGGCAGAGTTACAGTAGGGATTTCATGAGTCTTGAATCATTAGCAGAAACACTCTCCCCTCCCACAGAGAGATACAGTCCTAGAATAACACTGACCAGCTCTCAGGATATCACTTCTAAATGTCTCTTACCTGATAGTGGATCATGTGTAACTGCAGCAGACTGCTTAATAGGCTTAAACAACAAGACCTGTACCATTCCTGCCTTTTTTACATTTCTTGAATTTAGAAAACACTCAACACGGAATATGCCACTTTCCCTCCAGCAGCACCTCACCAGGGGCCAAGCTATCAACATTCAGTAGGGAGGGACTTAAAAGGAGGGAAATAAAATGAATCATAAAAATGGTCACACTAATAAAAATGGCTTCTTTGAAATAAAGTCCTCAATCCTCAAAAGCTGGAATGTTCCATCACCGAGAGAAAGGATGAAAAATAGAAGACTGAAAGAAAGTAACATGCAGGATGCTGCTGCGGTCCAGTATGGGGGACATCAAACGCTATAGTCCAGCTCTGCATTCAGCATTGTGTACATCTCATAGATGGCATCCACTGTGGCCGTGTAATTGACGAGGAACTGGCGTACATTAGCCATGCAGTCCTCCTCTGTGACCTCTTGACCTTTTGACAGGGCCTTTATAAAGTCTGACTTGTAGGGTGCTGCAAGCAACGCCGCCTGGAGGGGACAAAGATCAATCCAGTTGTTACATAGTTACTACACCTTGGCTGAGCAGTTAATCTACATTCAAATTCAATTCTGTAGTTTTCAGTTATTACATGTATAAATGTTTCGCTTTGGGTGAATTAAGTTCAATATGAAATAAATACACTCAGAGGTGCTTGAGAACCAGGGTTAAGTAGAACACCAAGTCACGGGTAAAAGGATAGGTCAAGACTATGCTACCACATGACTCTAGTCACATGGTCTCGCCTTAAATATCTTCTGCACTAGCCAGCCGTGGTATTTCTTCAGGGCCTGGTCGTAGGCTTTGGTGATGTTGACACGGATGAGGTTAGGGTTGTTTTCGTCTTTCTCTCCGTCTGCCAAGCTCTGCAGCAGGATCTGGATGAAACGGAGACCTCTGCGGGAGAGAGGACAATCATCTTAACTCATTTGATTTCAGACACAACATTATTCAAGACGTGCAGATCTCTATCTAGAAATAAGCACACCATTTCACCGCCTCTAGGCAGCCCAATTCAATCTTTTGACCAATCACATCAGATTTTTTCACATCAGAACTTTTTCAGAGCTGACCTGATTGGTCAAAAGACCAATTAGTGAAAAAAATATCAGAATTGTGAAAACAAGATCAGTATTGGGCTGCCTGTGTAAAGGCAGCCTTAAACACATTCAGATGAGATGATTCTGAGCTCACCTCTTCAGCCACATCAGGGCCAAGGTGGCTCCCACTTTGGGCCACTCTGTGCCGTATGCCTCCTTCTCTGACTCCACTATCTGCTGTAGTGTTGCATACTTGGCAGGGTCCTTGTCATACACACTTCTGATTTTCTGGAAGGAAAATATTACCAACAAAATGTATAGACGTAGGCATTTGTTATAGGCATATGTTGCTGTAGGGTTACTCTTATTTTAAGGCACAATTAGAGTGTGTCGAAAACATACTTACTGTTATATTGCCACTGATGTCTGATTTAATAGGAACAAATACTTTTGACCCCAGGCAGTCTGGAAAGAAGAAAGAGAAGGACAAAACATTGGATTGAAATGCAACCAAGCAGTTATAAGTAAATGCAGACACAGCATCTTGGATGTAGCCGTAGAAACATCCTTGGGGGAGGAAAGAATAGAATAGAAATAACACTTATTCTCCCACAATGCTTATGGGAATTATATGAACGTTTCTTGTTGTGCAATCAATAGAGAAAAGGGTCCATTCATATAGTATAAAGTCACAAGGAGGCCAATGCTGCGTGCAGTGTGGGAGGAGATAGAAGCTACAGCAGCTGCATACAAATTCACATGGCTCCTCTTGCCCTTTGGTTTTACCAACCCAATACAATCCTTCCTTGGTGTTAAAATCATATTATTACACTTTATGCTAAGACTATTCATTGACATTTCCAAGATGTAAAAACAACATCGAGCAAGGTTGTTACCACACAAACACTAGCGCATTTAAATCCCAAGATGAGCCTATGATTGAGCCATCCACAAAGAGTTTATTTGCGGATCATTCAAAATGTCATAACCGGTTATTATGGTAGGCCTACTACATTAGTATGATGTGATGGTCATCTTTATGCAACTCTGACGTTAACAAAGTGATTATAACGGCGCTGTACTCACTCAACGTCATTTGTTGTTTATTCAATAAGGTCAATGACAATGTCTAGCCAACTGTATCAAACCTGTGTTGGTTTCTTAGACAAAATAACAATTTAAATTGATTGTTTTTCATTTAGTTTTGTCTATTTCTAAATGTCGTTATATGGGAAGATAATCATGAAAAGTGAAACAAAACGAGAATGAAGTGACGATATTTTCTAAGGTATCGGTGACGGTGAGACAACTTGAGCGCCTCTCCAGTTTCATGAAGACCAATGAATGTGATAGTCAACAGGTCGTCTACCGGCCGTTCAGGTATACTGTCTGTACTCACCAAAAAAAGGCGGAAGATATGCCACTGACTCCAAGAAGAACTTTGTATCCACTGCTTTGTCGACTGGAAGTTCTCCAAATTGGTTATCCATTAAAAGTGCCATGACGAACTACAGAATGATAACGACTACTGTCTACTGTGAATAATGAACCCGGAACTGTCTTCCGTGTTCACTGTCTTCTACGCCTACCGCAAGGCAACTGTATACTCTAACAAGGCGCACTGAGTTGGCTAAGGGCGCGCAAACTCATTTCGCGTCATCAACAGGTGTTAGAAAGTGAAAGAAAAACTGTTTGAGTGAAATACGCCAATGCAGGGCCGTGCACAGGCCTTTTGGGGGACATGTGCTCAAACTAAAAAACGGGCACCCCTAAAATGTTTTTACTGCAACCGCGGTCATAGACTCGTTGAGCAATTATTACAAAAATAATGGAAAGCAGCACAATCTGAGTAAAGTATTTTGCCAAACCATTTCGAAATGAATAATTGCTGCACTTATTAACAATGACCAACACAATTCCAGTAAAAATTGATTGTAAGAAATACTGTGGACTACCATTACTATATCCATCCCAACTCCACTATCATGCATCCCAGTGGTTTTCAAACTTTTTAACCCCCCGGCACGCACATGCACGTGTGCACACTCGAACATGCGTGCACAACCGCTGCCATAAACGGTGATGCATTTTCAAAACGCTAGATAGACTATAGAAATAAACTGCGTTTTACAACTGCATTTGGAGCTGAAAGTCATTAATGTTAGGGAGTGAATGTTATTTATAATAAGGGTTACTTGGAGAAAATCGGACCTCTCTGAAATGAAAATGGATGGCCCTCCCTTCAGCAAAATATATTTCACCTAAACCCTGCCTGAACCCTTGAAAAAAAAACAAGTGACCCTCTCCTATACCCAAAATAATAATTAAAACAAAGTGGATAACAGAGAACATGTCTACCGTTTACCCTCACTTCTTGGACAGAGCAGAGCCTTAGATGTGCAGTTTTGAAAAACGGTTCTTCTTCCTACTAAGAGTAGTGGTGGAAATATCTAATTTATAGTAAAAGCATTGCATGAATCTATCATCGTATTTGCAGGTCCGAGAAAAAATTGCCATGCAATTCTACGTTTTTCTTTTCACAGCTACCTATGAACAGGGTCGGATCAAACTTAAAGAGGCAGAGGAGAATTCTGATCTGCAGACTGACTCAGACAGAAGTGTCAGGACCTAACAGTGTTAACAGCGGCAGCAGCACTACCGAGGGGGCTGATTTCCCTATTAATACTGTTCAGGATGTGGAGGCGATGGAGAAAAAGTTATTCGACACAGCTTTCCTGAATGGAAAAACACCTTTTTGTAGTAATTTGTTCATTAGTACACTGTTAATACAACCCCCAAAGTTGTGCATGTTAGCAATCAAGTTTTCAAGATAATTTTTGTCAAATACTATATCTGTTTGGGATTCTTGAGGTCAATTTGCAATGTACAAATTATTTATAACTATGTTCGGGCACCCCGACCATCCACTCATGGAAAAATCGTCCCTCGGCTGAATATAATTGGGGACCCCTGATGTAGGCTACCACAGCTAGTCAGGGTACCAGTCTGTTTAGCTATCATTCCACTCCTTGTCATGCTAAACATCTTATCGTATATTTGGCATATGACACGGAGTACAAGGAGCGTAATGTGTGAAGCTAAACCGAATGGTACCCCGGCTACACCACAGCACACAAACTGTAGCATAATTGTCAAGGTATTCATTACATTTTTACATTTTAGTCATTTATATTCATTCATTTAACACAGAAACTGTAACAGTTCAGTTATAAATTAAAGTGTATTACTTTAAAAGGCAGGTATTTATTTAAGCCACAAAGGCAATAACTGTATGACTTGTGTCAGGCTCATAATAACACTCAATGGCACACATAATTGATCATCACTCCCACATCCCTGGACAACACATGACCCTCACATGCCTAATAGATGAGTCCATATTACATATAAAGAACCAATGCTTTTAACACATCTTAACACCCTATTAGTTGCACGTTTGACCACTAGCAGCATAATCAAGACAAAATCAAGGCATGGGACACACAAAGGCATAGACTGGGTTTAGCACCACACACACACCACACAGTGAGCGACCATGAGCACAACTGATTGCCGGTGGATATATAGAAATACATATACCACCAAGATGAAAACTTCTTGCATGTCTTCAAACAGCACGGAATATATAGGAGGAAACTAACTGTTAAACATACATTTTATGAAAATAAATGTTTTTGTTAGATAGGTGTGAGATATTGCATTCATAAATAGAATATAGATTAGGGTTGTATGAGTTAAGAATAGATGTTTGTACATTTTCAGTCATTCATAAAAAAAAGATCACACAAATGATAGAATTGTGGTTTACCATTTTGAGTATCCCTTTGGGATACATTTCTTTACAAAATACACTAAAACAAAATGTATATTGGTCATGTGTGTGTGAGGTACATGTATATTAGAGGTATGGCTTCACCTTTTGAGCTCAAACTACTACAAAAAAAAAATATAAAAAAAAATGTAAAACTGGCTTGGCAGTTGTCCTCACCTTTATGGCTTTAGCATAAAACATTGAAATGGCATTCATGGAAAATACCTTGATGAAAACCTTGTAATGGACGTATCATGACTCATGAGGCAGTATTCCACTAAGCTATGTTCAAAATCCCAATGTGTTTGGCATTGAATAAGAAGTTAAAAGCTAACTGTTTAAAAAGCTGTTTGAAACCTTTGGACAGTCACGTGTCATTGGTGCATAGGGAAGCGCACCAAGGACAAGCACCCCAGCAACCACATAAATGTTCGGCCACCAGAAATGTTTAAATGTGTAACGTTGCAAAACTGTTTAGTCTCCTATGAGGTAAGCCCAGATAAGCAGGTCGTCAACCTCTAGCAGTATGAGTATATCTAACAGACAAACCCATGGACAAATCCCTGGGTTGACCCATGTTTCGCAAGGTACACTTTCTGTAAACGTTCTTCACTAGAAATCTACTATGACCAATTGAGCGTTTTAAAGAAAAATGGAGGCATTCAAATAATAACATAACAGTAACACTGATAACTTGAAATTAGAGATAATAACATATATTATCAAATATCCAAGAGGGATGTTAGTCTTTGGGTTAAAAATCAGTTGCTGTTTTCTTTGGTTGTCACAGTGACGAGTTGCTTGGCAGCCTTGGCGATGTCGTAGGCGCACTGGATGACCTGCTGCGTGACCAGCTGCATGTCGGAGGGGCAAGGGTCGTGGGGCGTGGCCTTCTGGCACTCCCCCTGGAGCCGGCTGGCACTGGAGGTGAGCAGCCGCAGGGACCCTCGCACTGTGTCAGAGTACGGCCTCTGAGGAGGAGAGAGAAGAGGCAGGGAAGGGTAACATACTGTTGGCAAAACATAGGCAATAAACGGTCCACTTAACATTGGAGTGTAAGGGGCGGATTAACTGCCATTGTGTGTGTGTGTGTGTTAAATTCTCTCCATCCTGAAGAAAGAGTGCATCATCTAACAACAGAACACCAGCTGCAAGACATTTATTTCCCATCCATGTTTACCAAACAAACCCTCACTGGCTCTTGCATACAAAGGAGGAGTCTCTGTTGATGGAGGTCATCCCAGCTTACCTTAGGAAACAGAGTGGCCATCTCCCTCACAGCCACATGGATCCTTTCTGAGCATGGTACAAAGCTGAGGGGGGAGGAGGAAGAAAACGTCAAGTAAGGGAGTGATCCTTTTCCCAACATATATGTTAGTAGAAAACTCCGGCCCTGTTTTTTTTTTCAATAACATTGTTAAACAAATATGTAGAATACTTAGGAATGTTTACAGAAGCTTGCCAAGCCCTTGACTCCCTTCCTACATGAAACACCTCTCAAAAGAGCAAAGTCAGCCAGCGATATCCTGGTGGAGCTTTATTTGAGAGAATGAGAAGCCCTGGCTAACGGTTGTCCACAGTGAAGCAGACAAAATAGAGAATATACTGAATTCTCAGTGTGTTCATTAACAGCAACCATGTGCTCCATTTGAGTAAACTGAACACATGTACTGTATTATTCCGTAGACAACATAATGTAGTGGAGGCTGTTAAGCCATGACAATATCATCAACAAAGTTTTTTTTTTAAACAAAAAAAACCCCACATGGCTTAAAAATCAGATAACGGAATACATCATAACTTTCCACTGTTTCAAATCAATAACAATGCCTCTGTTATAACCCAGTAGCTAAGTGACTGAGAAGACGCATACAAATTGGCAGGGTGAAATTCTTCAGCAGTGTTCTTTGGTCACCAGCTGGAGTGAGGTTTGGTACACAAGCGCAAAAGCTAAGCAAATACCACACAGCTCTAGTCAATTGGCGGCCAATAGTGAGGGTTTGTGTTAAAGACAACAAAATCAAGTGGACTGTATAAACACTAAATGAATGCCAGTGTGAATATGTCTCTGTATTTAATCCAAAAACGTAGAAAAGAAATCCAAGATAACGCTTGAGAGCACAAATATTAACCAAACACAGACAAATATAGATAAGGATAGCCTGTGTGTTGACATATAAAAGCCCTGTAGGCCTATATTTGGCATTCCATAAGGGAATCTGACACATTATCCTCTTTGTTTCTTGCCAGCTGCGTTTGACACAAGCCCCGCCCCTCAGCACACAGACAGAGGAGACAGTGACAGTGCCTGGGAGACAGGGACAGAGGCCAGAGTACCAGGGGCCTGGAGAGAGGAGGCCGGGGCGACTTCAGCTCTCTCAGAGCAGGGCAGCAGGGTAGAGAGACAGCCCTGTCAGAGCAGGGCACCAGGCTGTAGAGACAGGCCCGTCCGCGGCCGCCCCCCTCACAGCAGGGCAGCAGGCCAGAGAAGCAGCCTAGACTGCCTGGCCTGGAGCTAGCCCACACCGTAAGGAAGGAAGTCAGACAGACAGGAAAACACAGGGAGGGGAGGACAGAGTGGGAATACAGGACAATGAAAACAGAACTCAGGAGGAGAACAGAAAGATAGAAAAACAAGATACATCCTCTAAAAAACAATTACTGTAGTAGGGTGAAGGACAGGTGCTGGAAGGTTGGATGAAGGAACAATATATGGACAGCCTAATTTCCTATATTTAGAACTGGAAGGGCAAGTTCCACATGAACACACAACCTTTTAGTCAACAGACCTTTTCTCTAACTGCTGATTGGTGTTTTCTGTGTTCTTATGACCCCTGACCTTACCTCTCATGTTTGTTCTCCTGTGCGGCCCTCAGCAGCTCCTGGATGTTCTTGGTGATCTGCTCCGTCTTACAGATGACGTCCTCGGTGAAGGGTAGGGTGGAGTCAGCCTCAGTCTCATCCTCCCCCTGATCTGATGTACTGCCATCCCCCAGCCAATTGCTGTTCCTGCCCAGACTGCATGGGGAGAGGAGAGGTTCCAGTGTTAGGCTCTCCCTCACTTGTGGATCGCTTTGTATAGGAGCGACTGCCACATGACTAAGTGCCTACATTTTTCTAAAATATATAATATCTTTCTACTATAGAGATTTTAATCAAAAGTCCTACCCGGACTCCTCCAGTTCTGAGTGGTTTGGTGTGTTGTCATAGTCACTCTCCAGCATGCTCTGTCCCTCTAGGCTGCAACCCTACAATGGGATGAATGATACAGTAAGATGTGTGTCATCTCTTAGTTCAGTTTGCAGACAACCGTTGAATCTGGTGAAAGCATCTGAACAGCAGCACAGACATGTTACAGAGGTCTGAACGTGCTTGATGAAGCATACGCGTCAGAATCATGCTCTCTGAACCTAAAAAGCAATTTCATATTAAACAGACCTCAACTGGTTTCAAAGCAGAGAGTAAAAAGAGGTAGGAAGTTTGAAACCAGGGACCAGCGCCGTGTGGCATTAAGCAGTAGGTGCTGTTAGTGCAAGATTAAGATCAATGAATTCTGCTGTACGGGTAAAGGCTTCAGTACAGATGGTTCTTTTATTTTTTTTACTTCAGCTTATTTTAGTAAATAAAAAAAGTTTTTCAGGTACTCTACAAGGCAGTGCTGGCTGGGGGAATAAGGGTCAATGAAGAACAGCAGCAGCACAGTGGTGTATGCAGCCAGACAGCCATGCGATGCTGAGCGGAGATGTAGTGAGGTACAGGAGCAGTTAAAGGACAGAGGTAAGGAGGAGGTACAGGAGGACAGGAACAGTAGTGGACAAGCAGAGGGGATAGTCCACCCCTTCCCATGGGGCTGCTGCCCCCACCCTCTCGAGGGGAGATTCGGTACTTAACCCTTCGAGCTCTTTCATCCCGCGACCAGGACAGGGAAGAGGGGAAGGTAGGGAGGGAGGATGAGGCGGTCCCCAAAGGACCCCTCCCAATCTAGAAGGGGGTCAAACCAAGTTTACACATAAAAGGAGTCGACTATATTCTAGAGGAGGAGGGGGGAGAGGATAAATGCACAAACAAAAACGGAATTACCGCAAACCAAAATTGCTGACAGCACCAGTCCACGGTGACGGTCATAAAACAGTCCAGGAGGGATCGGTGTGAGTGATTTCTGTACTTACATTTGTAGGGAGGGGCTGTAAGGTGAGACGGTCGTCACGGCGAGGAGGGTCGCCCCTGTGGGGGTACTGCCTCATCCCCGAGCCTGTCTCGTACATGGACATGGGGCGGCCTCCGTGGACAGGGGGGCGGCTGGAGGGGTCCGGAGGGTGCTGCGGGCCCCTGGGGGCCTTCCATTGCAGGGAGGAGTTCTCAGTCTGCAGGGAGTTCAGCTGGAGGGGAAAACAGTTCAGAACGTCAGCTTTATTTCTGTGTAATATCCTAAATAAAGGGCCTATGGGTGAAACCTAGGGTGACCATAACATGGAGGTGTGAGAGTATCAGTGCAGGCTTAGAGAGAGACAAATCTCTCCATCCAGACTGTAAAAAAAGGGAACACATCTCTGTAGAAAAGGGGAACCCATCTCTGTAGAAAAAGGGAAGCCATGGCCAGAGAGCGCAGCTGCACTTCCACTAGGGCTGTCCCCGACTAGAAAATAATCTTGGTCGACCTAGAGTAGTCTGTTCTTTCGATCAATCGATTGATCGAACTTGTAAAATGCGTGTGTTTTAATAAAATCAACTATATGTAGGCTACTGAGCTTGTCTGATGCTTTAAGCACACTGTGATTAAATCATTATGACACAAAAATGACTCAAGAGGGAGCCAGAGATCAAGATAGCCTAACCAGAGGGAAAAAAAACACCTGTTCCCAACCATCCTCCAGCTGCTGCTGGCCTTCGCAGATTCTGCCATTAAGCTCCTGAAGTTGCCTGTAGGTAATAGGCTCCACCAGGGGTTGTCAACCTTTTCTATTTGGAGTACCAATTTATCTTACTATTTCTACCGATCTGCGTGCCAGTTATGATTTTCATTTGCACATTTTCATGGAACAGTTTAATTTCATTTATAATAAAGTATTCGTATCTCAAAATCATTATCATGTGGTTAATAAAAATTCTAAAAGTAACTTGTATTGCCAACTATGTAAAAATAGCCTCCATAAAGCCAACAAATAAAAACACTGCAGCCTGCAGGTAGAAAATATCGTGAAAAAAATTAATATCCTATAAATCCCATTGGCTACGCATGGCCTGCCTGCAAGAAACTTGAAACATTGTATCAACTATTAACTTGGGTCCAGCCTGAAGCTTGCACTAGAAAACTTGCAACATTGTATAAAATATTCTGGGCCCTCAGAGTTTCCCATGTCAGTGACTCAGACATAGCTGTAGGCTATTTGCGCAAGAGATAAGATGTAATCAGGTAGGCCTATTTTATGACATTTCCACCAGATCAGAGCATTACATGTTTTTCCCCTTTCACGCCGAGTGGATATCGAAAGAGAGCTGTAAAGATTTTTCAAATAGGCTACGTTGAGGAACTATTGTCATTCTCAATTGATGTAAAAACAGACTTCATTTACTTGCTGTTTGAGGTGAAGAAAAAATTACTTTGAGAAGCTCCACAGTGGTGGTGAGTTAAGAAATCGATAGTTACCGGAGTTCTAACTCCAGTTCTATGAGTGGAGCGGAGCCCCATAGGGGAGCTCTGCTCCTATTGGTTTACCCCGCTGCCAAGGCAGCGAACAGCCTGAGACAAAATTATGCACACACCTGCAGCCAATAGGAGTACAGGTGTCCCTATAAGAGGGGACGCTTCCCCTCAATCAGCCTCCCGAGAGGGGGTCGGGCAGGGCCTTAAGTCCTATGGGGTTCCGCTCCACTCATAGAACTGGAGTTACAACTCCGGTAACTATCGTTCTATATCATGGAGCTCCGCCCCATAGGGGAGGTCTGCTCCTATTGGTTTAAGGTGGAGCGCAACGCTCCAAAATTTACTCCCTGCCGAGCCCAACACTTCCCACTTAAATGAAAAGGTCGGGCCTAGCAATGGCTGCGACCAAGTCCCACAGTACTGTGACACACTGTGTCACAATATACTGTGTCCTCTGTACAAATCCGCCCCACCTAGTCCAATGGCATTGCCAATGTCTAGTGGGCAGATAACCAGAATATGAGCCATACTAATCTGAACCAGCAGATAGATGGTGCCTCAATATCCTGTTAAACAAAACCAAATCACTAATGGAATGACACAAAGTGTCACTCTACACTGTGTATTCGGTAATCCACCACACTCAATCTATGGATCCCCAAAGATTAGTGGGTAGACTCCAGAACATGAGTCATACTAATCTGAACAAGCAGATAGATGACATCACAATTCCGTCAATATTATATGACCGGTCTAATAGTAATGTAAACAAAGTTACAAACACTATTTCCCTCATCATTCCGCCCCAACCCAGTTATGCACTGGTGGGCAGATCAATAACATGCCTTCTACTGTACTGAACACGTCAGTCAGGAGTTATGCCATATATGTCTCTCTCCTAGAAAAGAGCGGACCTGATGGAGACCAGCCCCTTCAGTTCTGCATTATTTTCTCCTAGTTCAAGTCTTCCCATCAGCTACGCTGAGTACAAACTGAACGGGAGAGTTAAGACATATCCAGAATTGAGGACATGAGCTAAAAACTAAACTGAACAAAGCAGACAGTTAATGCTCTAATATCCCTATAACTACTGGTACTACAGTGTCGCAACACAAAGTGTCGCTGAACACTATCTTCAGTAACCCGCCGTCCCTAGTCCAAGGAAACCAAAGACTAGTGGGCAGGAACGTAATACTTGAGCTCAACTGAACTGCACAAGCAGACAGTTACCGCTCTAATATTCCTTTAATAACTGACGCTCAACAGTGATGCGACACAAAGTGTCGCCCCCCACCGTGTCGTCAGTAAAACAGCCGCAGCCAGCCTAAGGAATAACCCAAAGGCTAGCGGGCAGATAACAGGACATAAAACCACACTGTTCTGATCCCTCAGACAGTCTGTATCTCCATATTCCCACACAACTGATCTCACAGTGAGGCATCACAAGGTGTCGCCCTAGACCGTGTTATCAGTAAATCCGCCTCACTCAGTCTAAGGCTAACCAGAGACTAGTGGGCAGAGGGAACAATATGATGTCCTCTCCATCACAACAGTTATATAACCCAAGGTGCTATCATAACTTGTGTATTCAGCAATTCACCACCTTCAATCCAATGATTGATAGGTAAAGGAATATACAAAAACATGAGCAAACACTGCACTGAACCCTCAGACAGTAATAATGCTCTAATGTTATTTTAAGATTGGTTTAATAGTAATATAATACAAGGTTACAAAAAACTATTTCCCTCATCCTCCAGCCCCAACACAGTTATACACTGGTGGGCAGGTCAAAATACATTACCTCTACTGTACTGATAACCTCAGTCAGGAATCATGTCTCTCTCATAGAAAAAAAGCTGACCTAATGGGAACCCAGCCCCCTGGTCCTGCATCTTTTTTCTCTTAGTTCAAGTCCTTACATCAGATACACTGAGTACAGACTGAACCAGAGAGTTAGAAGACATATCTAACAGGTAGAAATTGATAAGACGGTGACGATCAAGACGCAGCTGCGCAATTATCCTCTACACATGTTCCTCTGAAAAAGGTAATAGAAGCCGCTACTCCACGAGTGGATTGGGCTCTTCTACCCAGAGGCAATGGCCGCCCTGCAGCCTCATAAGCCGTCTCAATGCCTTACAAAGCCAATGAGACAGACTCTGTTTAGAAAGTGGTCTACGGAGTGCCGCCGCACCGTGACACACAAAACAGCTGAGGCGATGATATAATCGCCGCCTTGCGCTCCACGTAGCGCACTGGGCACAGGCGATAGAGCCGTTCCTATCTCCTCTCAACATGGTGAGAGGGAGAGAAGGCCCACAGCTCTACGATCTGTAATATATATAAGCTCTTAATAACCTCAGGCATAAATGCCGGGTTAAGACTTAACACCGTCCTGCTCAATCGCCATAAATGGCAAGGCAGTAGGGTCTTGTCGAAAGAGCTCACAAATCACTTACACGTTTAGCAGTGGTCAAAGCGAGCAACAGTGTCGTCTTCAAATATAACATCTTAAGGGGGATTTGATTCAATGGTTCGAACGGTGGCTCGCAGAGCGCTTCGAGTACCAAAGTCAAATCCCACTGAGGAAGCGTTGCTCTAGGCATTGGCCTAAGCCGCCGCGTTCCCAAAAGGAAAACGTTTCACAAGAGGGTGGCTGAGAACAGTGTCTCTGCCAAACCCGCATGACAAGCCTAAATCGCCACCGCAAGCACCTACATGGTGGCGGATGAGCGCTGCTTATCACATAGGAACTGTAGGAATAAGAGTATGCTCTCGACCTGACAGCACACGTAGTCCACATTTTCTGTGACAACACTGTGAAAAAACATTCCATTTACTGGCATAAGTCCCAGCGGAACCACGGAATGGGCCGACGACATGAGACCCAAGAGTGACATGACCGAAAGTGCCTTTACCGTGTGATTCGGATAAAACCTTCGTAGGGCTAGCAACAGGGCAGCCCGTCGAGGATCCGAAATTCGAGCCCTCATCGTTACAGTGTCTAGCTGTATCCCTAGATAGACAATCTGATGACTGGGCCAGGGCGCGCTCTTTTTCCAATTCACAGCGAACCCCAGACGCGTGAGATGAATCACTGTGTCGTGTGAGTGAACGCCAGCTCTGCTGACGGGGCGAGAACCAGTAAGTCGTCTAGGTAGGCTAGTAGCCTTATTCCCTGACGACGCAACGGTTCTATTGCCGCCTCCACACATTTGGAAAACGTGCGAGGTGCCAGGGCGTACCCGAATGGCATCCTCGTTAACTCGTACGCCACCCCTTGAATGGCGAAACGCAGAAACTTCCTGTGACGCGGCTGTACCGGCACATGAAAGTACGCGTCCTTTAGGTCTATGCTCGTACAAAAGTCTCCCTTCTGGACACATTCCAGTAGACGTTTTGTCGTTAGCATTTGGAAGGGCCGTTTGGCTAAGCTCTCGTTGTGAACGCGTAGATCCAATATTGGCCTCATTCCCCCCATCTTTTTGGGCACCAGGAAAATAGGGCGAATATAGCCCCCTGTTCCTTTTCTCCCGGGGATGTGGTGCATTCAGTAGGAAGGACCTGTATTCCTCTACGGCCCTCGCCGCCGCTGTTCCCCGACAATGAAGTGGTGGAACAGCTCAAGGCGGGCCTCCCATGAAAGCGAGAGGAAACATGAGCGCGTTCTGAGAGAAACGGGAGCGCCGACACGTTGGTTATACTCGTAACCTCGTTGTCCCAGCCCACCGTGAACGCAGCACGGGTCTGAACTGCACTGACTGAGGCGCTCGCCTGAGTCAGAGCGCCGTCTCCCAATAGCGATTGCGTTATCGTTCCAGTAACTGGCTGTGTATGCAGGCTACTATGTGAAACCTGTACCACAACACTCCTAGCAGTCTGTGGTGTAAGGATTTTATGAGGTATAACAAAGCGGCTCATCAAAGATGTCTGCCTTGTTCCCTTATTCACACCTGCCTCATGTGTATTCTCAGCTACGCACCCGGCTGTGCTACACTCAGAGTGGTGAGGAGGAGAGAGAGAGAGAGAGAGAGAGAGAGAGAGAGAGTAAAGGCACCTGAACGGTCTTGTGTGTATCATGGAAAAGGGGCTCTCTTGTGACAAAAGTCAATTGGAGCCAACTCTTTATTAGACACACAACATGCAGTTTCCTCCATACCCTCAACAGTAGGGTGGGGGGGGGGGGCAGTGGGCACAGTCACACAAGGCCTGCGCCGTCTTCCGTTCTCTCCCCCTCGCCATGTCATAAACGGCCTCTCTTCTGGCCGCCCTTCGGGTGATTCCAGGATGACACTTTAATGTCCTCTCTCGCCGGCGGAATGGTCGGCACCTCTGGCGCTGCAGGAGGGGCGCGGCCCACTCCCTTGCTGCTGGAGGCCGCCGTCTGACGCCGGGCACAACGGCAAGCAGTAGCGAGAGTAAGGGCCGCCCTCCATCATGTCCACTTCCGGGTTGAGGGAATGGGGGGCAGCTTCATCTCCAGCCGTTTAGCAGTCCTCTCAATGAGCCATGGAAAATCAGAGCGCAGAGAGGCTGTGGCATCATCACCCAGTGATGTAAATGACCTCACTTTCCTGAGGGAAAAAGGGGTGTTAAACGTCTGGGTCAGTGTAATGGATTGTTCCAATAGAATATCAATTTCCTCCCCAATACCCCTGTCATCTCCTGAGTCAGCGCCCTCAGATGATGCCTCAGAAGCTGAGGCTAACACTGATAGCATATCCTCAAGAGGAATATCCTCCCTAAAAAATGCCAAACGCTGCTTCCTCTCCTTCAAAGAAAGGAGGGCGCAGCTGGCGCATAGTGGGGGATTCATGAGGCCGTCCCTGGCGTGCTGTGACCCTAAACACACAAAACATAACTAAAATGAGCACACCCTGAGACTTTCCACCCCCAAAAGCTATTTTCAGAGCTCAATGTCACTGTTCCTCTTGGCGGCTTTCAGGTCTCTCCAGAGATGTTCGATCGGGTTCAAGTCCGTGCTCTTCATACTTCACAATCTTAGCTAGCAAGCTAGACAAGCAGTCATCATCATGAATCACGTCGACAATGTACTCCTATTGGCTGCAGGTGTGTGCATAATTTTGTCTCAGGCTGTTCGCTGCCTAGGCAGCGGGGTAAACCAATAGGAGCAGAGCTCCCCTATGGGGCGGAGCTCCACGATATAGAACAGAAAAACGATCAGTTCCGCAAACGGGCACATTTATAGGCCTACATTTGCACGCAGGCCAGGTAGCCTAAGCGTACTCCTATGCATAATCAGATGCGCGTCCTTACTCAACATTGACAGGGGCGCTACAAACAAAAGACAATTAATAAATTGACAACTCGTAAATGGAATGAAATAAACCAAAACTTTCCCCTCACAAGTGTAGCCTAGGTTGTGCGGTCCGCAAACAACGTGTCCATTCCGACAATGAGAACGGTATAAGACTGTAGTAATAATAATAATAATAATAATAATAATAATAAATTGAATGCATAAAAAAAAATCCATAACCAAACAAACATTGTAGATTAGAAATGATGGGAATGAATGGTAAATGTACTACTGGTGAGCCATCCCCGCAGCCTCCACAATGGATTTGTCTACTGAGACAGGTGTGAATCAGACAGGTGTGAATCAGACAGGTGTGAATGAGACAGGTGTCTCGTGTACCATAATATACAGTGCATTCGGAAAGTATTCAAACCCCTTGAATTTTTCCACATTTTGTTACGTTACAGCCTTATTCTAAAATGGATACAATTATTGTTTTCCCTCAATCTACACATAATACCCCATAATGACAAAGCAAAAACAGGTTTTTAGAAATTGTTGCAAATGTATATATATATATATTTTTAACAGAAATACCTTATTTCCATAAGTATTCAAACCCTTTGCTATGAGACTCGAAATTGAGCTCAGGTGCATCCTGTTTTCATTGATCATCCTTGAGATGTTTCTACAACTTGATTGGAGTCCACCTGTGGTAAATTCAATTGATTGGACATGATTTAGAAAAGGCACACAACTGTCTATATAAGGTCCCACAGTTGACAGTGCATGTCAGAGCAAAAACCAAGCCATGAGGTCGAAGGAATTGTCCGTAGAGCTCCGAGACAGGATTGTGTCGAGGCACAGATCTGGGGAAGGGTACCAAAACATTTCTGCAGCATTGAAGGTCCCCAAGAACGCAGTGGCCTCCATCATTCTTAAATGGAAGAAGTTTGGAACCACCAAGCCTCTTCCTAGAGCTGGCCGCCTGGCCAAACTGAGCAATCAGGGGACAAGGGCCTTGGTCAGGGAGGTGACCAAGAATCCGATGATCACTCTGACAGAGCTCCAGAGTTCCTCTGTGGAGATGGGAGAACCTTCCAGAAGGACAACCATCTCTGCAGCACTCCACCAATCAGGCCTTTATGGTAGAGTGGCCAGACGGAAGCCACTCCTCAGTAAAAGGCACATGACAGCCCGCTTGGAGTTTGCCAAAAGGCACCTAAAGACTCTCAGACCATGAGAAACAAGATTCTCTGGTCTGATGAAACCAAGACTGAACTCTTTGGCCTGAATGCAAAGTGTCACGTCTGGAGGAAACCTAGCACCATCCCTACGGTGAAGCATGGTGTGGGGATGTCTTTCAGCGGCAGGGAGTGGGGCACTAGTCAGGATCGAGGGAAAGATGAACGGAGCAAAGTACAGAGAGATCCTTGATGAAAACCTGCTCCAAAGTGCTCAGGACCACAGACTTTCTAAAGAAATCTCGGTCGACGAACAGCCTACAGACAAAACAATCGACCAGTCTACTAAATGGAGTCAGCCCTACCTTCCACTGTGTTTTCACTTCCTTTTCTGTCAATAGCCCTGGTCTGGTCATGAAGGATACTCCAAGACTATTGTTCTCAATTACTCATGAGAAAACAACAAATCAGCTGCTTCCTTGAATGAGCTAAATGTTCACGTCATGTACAATGTTACAATCTGAATGTGTCCCCACCCAAGCACATCCAGTTCTAAAATGCTGTAAAACAGGTTACCCTTTTTTGCACTGACAACATGAGAAACATGAGAAGGACCAACACAACAAGGGAGCAGTCCTTGTTCTTTCTCTCTCTCTCATGGGACTGCAAACATCTGCATCAGCACAAAGCCACTAGACTTACTGTGGGAACAGTTAGTTGTTATAATACCCAAGTCATAAATGTACCTTGCTCTGCATCATCCGGATCTCCTCACTCAGGTGACAATTGACCTTGAGCAGCTGCTGTATCTTTGCCTCGGAGGCCGTGAGGGCGCTCTTCACCTCCATGAACTCCTGTACTGTGATGGGTCCATCAGATAGGTCAGACGACTCTGAGCTCTGAAGCATGGTGGAACGGAGAGTTTAATGGCTATGCCGTTACAATATTAATGGTAATGAAAAACTAAACTAAAAAAATACAAATATGGTGTTACCTTGGTCCTGTGATCTTTCCCATTCTTCCCAGAGGCTGGTTCCCGCTCTGGATCTTCATCCGACGCCACACTGTCATAATCTGGCTGGTCTTCATTATCCTGGTTCTCACTCCCATGACGGCTGCCGATTCCCTTCAGGATGAGCTCTATGTCCTCTGAGGAGAGAGAGCAACAGTCAGGGGAGTGGACCACGCAACAACCATGCCCTGGTGGGTACAGTAATGAGCTTTGTTCTAATCAGGTGCTGGATCAAATCATAAATACCATATTTGAATAAATGTAGCTTCAGATTACTGTACTATACCTCTGGGACTTTCACAGGAGTTCCCCCGTTGCCGACGTTTGGCATCAGTTAAAATATCAATGACGAGTGTTGCAAATTCATGTGCATTGAACCTTGCTAGCTTCTGTCTGCCCTGAAAAACAAATGACCACAAGACAACATTATGAAGCAGCAGTGCGGGAAGTGTAGGCTCTTCAATCAAATGCATAACATTTACCTAAAGGCTCGGGAAAGAGACCAACCAATTTGACATTACATTGAAAGACATTTTTAGGTGACTTGCCTGGTTCCTGGTGGATGAGTACTCAGGGTTGACAGGGAGGAAAGGCACCAAAGTTGTGTCTGTTACCAGAGTACTGTGGTTCTGAGTGACCAGCCACACTGATACAGCAAAGACAGAACAGAAATATACATTATTGTTTTGTGAAAAAAATACTAATAATCAATAAAACACCTAGTGAAATCAAACACTACAAACACGTCCAATGTCAGTTCACCGGCATCAGTTTCTCTTCTGTCCACTTCATCATAAACGTCCATGGCAAGCTCTTCAAACTGATGGTTAGTGAGCTGAAATCACAAGCCACAGTAAAATCACATCACTGGTATGTCTAAAAGGACCATAATAAAACCATGTTTGGAAAAAATATATACTGTCACTCACAGACTGGAGTTTTTTCTTTGCAGCTTTTGCAAAGTCGGACAAATCCAGACTGCTGTAGACAAAATAAAAAAAAATATATATATATATACACACTTTACAAAAATATAAACGCAACATGCAACAATTTCAATTATTTGACTGAGTTACAGTTCATATAAGGAAATGTGTCAATTGAAATAAATCTATGGATTTCACATGACTGGGCAAGGGCGCAGCCATGGGTGGGCCTGGGAGGGCATAGGCCCACCCCTGGTGAGTCAGGCCAAGCCAATCAGAATGAGTTTTTCCCCACAAAAGGGCTTTTATTACAGGTAGAAATACTCCTCAGACGATTCCGCAGGTGAAGAAGCCGGATGTAGTGGTCCTGGGCTTGTGTGGTTACACGTTGTCTGCGGTTGTGAGGCCGTTTGAACATACTGCCAAATTCTCTAAAACGACGTTGGAGGCGACTTATAGTGGAGAAATGAACATTCAATTCTCTGGCAACAGCTCTGGTGGACATTCCTGCAGTCAGCATGCCAATTGCACACTCCCTCAAAACATCTGTTGTCTTGTGTGACAAAACTGACAATTTAGAGTGGCCTTTTATTGTCCCCAGCACAAGGTGCACCTGTGTAATTATCATGCTGTTTAATCAGCTTCTTGATATGCCACACCTGTCAGGTGGATGGATTATCTTGGTACAGGATAAATGCTCACTAACAGGTATGTAAACAAATTGCTGCACAAAATTTGAGTATGGACAATTTCTGGGATCTTTTATTTCAGCTCATGAAACATGGGACCAACACTTTACATGTTGGGTTTCTATTTTTGTTAATTACACATCAGTTTATATAGTACATTCAAGACAATAAACTATAGACAACAGTTGACATACTTACACATTTCTTTTCCATCAAGATATGTCAGCAAAGAGAGAAACAAGGATGGTGTGATAAATGCATTACGTTTTAACGTCAGTTACTAAGCCATTGGATGGATAGACACAGCTGGTTTATCAGGACTTTGAGAAGAGGTTTTTGTAAAATGCCACTGAAACACCAACGTCTGAACAGCATTCCCATTCTCCATAAGCATGCCATTAAATTTGGTTCAGTTCTTACCTGTCAGCCATTTGTGGGATTATGAAGTGTTGTCCACTTCTATGATCTAGTAGACAAACACAGTCAGATTAGAACGACTGACATTTACATTTTAGTCATTTAGCATCGAGTTTCCCAAACTTGGTCCTGCCCCCCCCCCCCAGCAGATTCAAATAACCAACTCACCATCAAGCTTTGATTATTTGAATCAGCTGTGTAGTGCTACGTCAAAAACCAAAACGTGGACCCAGGGGGGGCCCCAGGACCTAGTTTGGGAAACCCTGATTTAGCAGACACTCTTATCCAGAGTGACTTACAGGAGGAATTACGGTTAAGTGCCTTGCTCAAGGGGAAACCATCAACAGATTTTTTTCACATAGTCGGCTCAGGGATTCAAACCAGTGACCTTTCGGTTACTGGCCCAACGCTCTTAACCGCTAGGCTACCTGCAGCCCATATCATGCTTCAATTATTCACTATCTCCCTGTCAATGCCTCTTCTCCACTCTTACCTGGCCTTCTCCCACAGAGGTAAAATGCCAGGCGGTCTGTGAGTTCATACTGGATCTCTACCAGTCTGTCTGCCAGCTCCTGGTGGCCTGCTTGTCTGATTGGAACAGGAATAAAAGGTTCTTTTCCACATCAATATTAGTGACAGTGAGGTCAATTTATGTTTGCTGTAAATGTCAACCATAGCACTATATTTTTAAGACCTCTTTACAATAAAACCAAAGGTGGTAAAGTTGCAGTTTATTCAGTATCCGTAATCATTTACATCATTCTTCTAATAAATGTAAGTACTAGGCAGCCTCACTAACCGTACTCTGGGAAAGAGTTGTGTCACCATCAGCGGTAATGGATTGCTCCAGTGCAGTACGAAAGAGTAGAAAGACTGCTTTACCTTGCGTAGTCAATAGGGGTCTTACCCCCTGTGTCTAGGGCACCGGGATCCGCCCCATACACAGCCAGCAGCTCTGCCTGTGACGCCTGGCATGCCTTAGCTGCTACATGCAGTGGAGTGTTTCCTTTTTCCTGAAGGACAAATAGGCCACACCAGGCCAACACAATGAGACACTGGACAGGCCACACCACCCCAATACAATGACACACTGGACACTGTGTGTGGGCACTGGTATAATAGTGTGCAGGCTCATTATCATTCTATTATGTATTGATACATTTCAGGCAACTGTTCTCTACAGACAATTTACATACCGGGTGGAAGAAGTTGGCCTGGGCTCCCAAAGACAATAGTCTCAGGCACGTCTCCAAGTTCCCAGTCCGAACACTGGAGTGGAGTTGCTAGAGGGAACACCAAAGGGAGGTTTGGTTAGCTAACAGATAATAAAAAACAGTTGATAAATTGGTAAATTAATGAGCTCAACGGCAATGAAGCCTGCAATCCAGGGCGTGGTCTGGCTGTAATCTCCCACCTTACTGAGGTCCTTTGTGGTGACACTGTCATCCTCTCGACAGGGCATTCGATGGACATACGCCAGCATCTGATATTTGGCCTTGATGAACTCAGTTTTATGGGGACTGTAAAGGGAACAGAAAATCACACTTACAAACCTCAGACTGTCCAGGCAAACCTCACCCCAATGGCACTTTAAAACAACAGACAGTCCCACACTGTGAGAGTGATAAATCATGGTGAGATGAGATGCTCAGATTTGTCATCACGTTGGTTTAAATTTCTATTGTTTAACCTTCAACTAAAAGTTTGAAATGTGGCCCACTCACTGGACTCTGTCCTGGGGGTTGGCCTTGCGTTTCCCACTCGTGATAGACGAGGGGTCCAGAAGGCTGTGCTCCCAGATGGAGTTGGCCCCATTGCTGTACAATTTCTGAACCATCTACAAAGGAAGCAAACAATACAACCAATTGGTAAGGGAAAACAACATTTGAAGAAGTCGACTGTTCTTGAGTGTCAGTACAGCTGTTTGTGTGAGGTGCTCACCTGTAGCTGGGAGGGGGGCCATTGTGTATGGGTCAGGTGTCGGACTTGGGAACTGTGTCGGCCCAGACCCCGGTGGACGCTGCAACACTCATCACAGATCAGCACGCCCCTGTTCACTGAGGCCCAGCACGGGCCTGGAACACACACACACCTTTAGACTCAATATTACCACAAAGGCTCCGAGTCCACACAAACCATGAAGACTAAAAGAGTCACGTATCCAGTGCACACATCATTCTGCATGCATTCTTTTTCATGATTTCAGCCAGCTCCCTAGCTACTTATGTCATACGTTTACTTAGCTACAAACTAGATACCCCAAGCTAAAGTGACAAAACAAAGACTATTGTAAAGTCTAGCTAGCCATAAGCTAACTAGCTAGCAACAATAACAAAGTTGAGAGCTACCAGCTGCTAACTAGCAACAGACAGCTAATGTTAGCTGACTTCCCCATTCTTCTTGGACATTGTCATACTAGCAGCTAGTTTAGCTTGCAAGCAAAGCTATGCCTTGCTGGAACTACAAGCAATCAAACAGAATGGGAATCCCATTGAACGTGAAATTCAAGCAAGCAAATATTAAAATAGCTTGGGTTACCATTACATGAAATACAATTGCTAACATAAACTAGCTATCATGCTACTTAAATTCCTAATAAGGCTAGCCAGCCATCGTTTAGCTTACCCTGGGAGCTACAATCAGCGCAGACCTCTCTGTTCCGCAGCCGCTTTGACATCCCTTTTTACTTTAGGTAGCAAACTAGCTGGTTGTATATAGAAAGCCCTTTAAACTCTCCGATTCAGACAGGCACTCATGAGACACAGTTTATACTACTGTACAACGACGAGGTCAGAAAATCTGATAAGGAAAATGCTAACTGTCTAACATTAGCTTCTTCTTCTTCTTCTTCTTCTTCTTCTTTGAGGTTTATTGGCAGACTACACTCATAAGGTGTATTGCTGCCACCTACTGTACGGGGTAGTAAAAAAATACACCAACAACAAAATATGTTTTGGATGAACAAATTCATACTAATTACCAAAAACAAAAACACTAACGAAATTCACGCTACTGTACTACCCTGAATTTCAAACAAAAACAAAAAACTGTACACTACTCCTTCAGTCAGATTTAAATGTCTATTCAGATCACTACACAGGCTCAGGAACCTGGGAGGAGGGAACCTCCTTCAGTAGGCCTACTCCCTGTAACATTTTGGCTGTAAAGTCCTGGAGATCCAAACATTTATTTGCCGCCTTCACAATGATGTCTAGCTTCTTTCAGTTTTTGTTAGTTTGACTAGTGCAATTTATCGCTATAAACGCAACAAAGTCCACCTTCTTCACTATTACTGTGTCGGGATCCTTCTCCTGCATGGCATTCACTGCAGACTATGGGACATCCACTACCATCTCCTCTCTACTCACTCCTTCAGCTATTTTCACTGCCTCCACATAGGAGATCTGCTGGATGGCCCTGAACCTAGCTACTGCGATCTCCATCCTTACAGGGCACTCCGGGAACTCGGGAACGTGATTCCCATCACCATTACAACAACATGCTTAATCTGACTTTTCAAATGCAATGTATTTATTCCTTTGACAAACACTTGCCACATGTCCAAATGTTTTACAGTTGTAACACTGCAGCGGCTTCTGTACATATGGTCTCACCACATATCTCACATACCAAAGTTTTATATAAGTTGGGAGAACCACTTCATCAAACGACAGCAACACCGATAGGCTTTGCTCCTTCTTTCTGTCTATAATTTGATTCAAGCGACGACTACCACTCCTGGAATGTTACTAACGTTAGCTACCTCACCAGTGGCGACCCTTCATTCAGGCATTGAGCCCCACCTGTTTAGCTAAAAATAATATTATTAATAATAATAATAATAATAATAATAATAATAATAATAATAATATACAGTACCAGTCAAAAGTTTGGACACACCTACTCTTCCAAGGGTTTTTCTTTATTTTTACTATTTTCTACATTGCAGAATAATAGTGAAGACATCAAAACTATGAAATAACACATATGGAATCATGTAGTAACCAAAAAAGTGTTAAACAAATCAAATTATATTTGAGATTTGAGATTCTTCAAAGTAGCCACCCTTTGCCTTGATGACAGCTTTGTACACTCCTGGCATTCTCTCAACCAGCTTCATGAGGAATGCTTTTCCAACAGTCTTGAAGGAGTTCCTACATAGGATGAGCACTTGTTGGCTGTTTTTCCTTCACTCTGCGGTCCAACTCATCCCAAACCATCTCAATTGGGTTGAGGTCGGGTGATTGTGGAGGCCAGGTCATCTGATGCAGCACTCCATCACTCTCCTTCTTGGTCAAATAGCCCTTACACAGCCTGGAGGTGTGTTGGGTCATTGTCCTGTTGAAAAACAAATGTTAGTCCCAATAAGTGCAAACCAGATGATGGCGTATCGCTGCAGAATGCTGTGGTAGCCATGCTGGTTAAGTGTGCCTTGAATTCTAAATAAATCACTGACATTGTCACCAGCAAAGCACCCCCACACCATCAAACCTCCTCCTCCATGCTTCACGGTGGGAACCACACATGCAGATATAATCCGTTCACCTAATCTGCGTCTCACAAAGACACGGCGGTTGGAACCAAAAATCTCACATTTGGACTCATCAGACCAAAGGACAGATTTCCACCGGTCTAATGTCCATTGCTCATGTTTCTTATCCCAAACAAGTCTCTTCTTCTTATTGGTGCCCTTTAGTAGTGGATTCTTTGCAGCAATTCGACCATGAAGGCCTGATTCACACAGTCTCCTCTGAAAAGTTGATGTTGAGATGTGTCTGTTACTTGAACTCTGTGAAGCATTTATTTGGGCTGCAATCTGAGGTGCAGTTAACTCTAATGAACTTATCCTCTGCAGCAGAGGTAACTCTGGGTCTTTCTTTCCTGTGGGGTCCTCATGAGAGCCAGTTTCATCATAGCGCTTGATGGTTTTTGCGACTGCACTTGAAGAAACTTTCAAAGTTATTGACATTTTCCGGATTGACTGACGTTCATGTCTTAAAGTAATGATGGACTGTAGTTTCTCTTTGCTTATTTGAGCTGTTCTTGCCATAATATGGACTTGGTCTTTTACCAAATAGTGCTATCTTCTGTATACCACCCCTACCTTGTCACAACACAACTGATTGGCTCAAATACATTAAGGAAAGAAATTACACAAATGAACATTTAACAAGGCACACCTGATAATTAAAATGCATTCCAGGTGACTATTTGACCAAAAAGGAGAGTGATGGAGTGCTGCATCAGATGACCTGGTCTCCACAATCACCTGACCTCAACCCAATTGAGATGGTTTGGGATGAGTCGGACCGCAGAGTGAAGGAAAAGCAGCCAACAAGTGCTCAGCATATGTGGGAACTCCTTCAAGACTGTTGGAAAAGCATTCCTCATGAAGCTGGTTGAGAGAATGCCAATAGTGTGCAAAGCTGTCATCAAGGCAAAGGGTGGCTACTTTGAAGAATCTCAAATATAAAATATATTTTGATTTGTTTAACACTTGTTTTGGTTTCTACATGATTCCATATGTGTTATTTCATAGTTTTGATGTCTTCACTATTATTCTACAATGTAGAAAATAGTAGAAATTAAGAAAAATCCTGGAATGAGTAGGTGTATCCAAACCTTTGACTGGTACTGTATATATATTTTTTGTTGTTGTTGTTGCCTGTTTTGCATGTTATTTTGGCATTTTTATTTTATTTTACCTTTATTTAACTAGGCAAGTCAGTTAAGAACAAATTCTTATTTACAATGACGGCCTACAACGGCCAAACCTGGACGACGCTGGGCCAATTGTGCGCCGCCCTATGGGACTCCCAATCACGGCCGGTTGTGATACAACCTGGAATCAAACCAGGGGGTCTGTAGTGACGCCTCAAGCACTGAGATGCAGTGCCTTAGACCGCTGCGCCACTCGGGAGCCCATTAATACGTGTCATATATCAGTTTGCAAACAATGTAAAAAATTAATACAAATCATTTAGTTAATAAAGCCGCATACAAACATGGCCTCTTTTTTTGCTTTCTTGAGTAAGGCAGCTCCAAAATGCAGGTGTTTCAGCCTAGCTCAGTGCTTTCTGTGGCGGTGGGGCAGCCAGCGGAAAATACGGAGATTAGGATTGGTAATGTTCTCTAGTTGTGCCGTGATTGGCTCAGTGTTCTGTCACTCATGGGGACACTACGTCACCGCAAAATCTATGGGGAGAGCTCGAAAACTTTAGCCCCTTGGGTGCTGCCATAGAGTTACATTAGAAGTCCCCATACAAGAAGGCTCAAGGTCATTGGCCACAGATAAAATGACGTCAAATCACATTATATCTACCGTCGCTTTTATTGGACTGATCATGTCAACATCATACTTTCAAAATCTTAGCTAGCAAGCTAGACAAGCAGTCATCATCATGAATCACATCGACATCTACTGGCAAATCTTTTTCAATCCTTGTCATATGAAGAGAAATTATAGATAAAATGTATCGGTGCTCATCGGCCATTGGACATAAACATTACACAACAAGTTGGAAATCGCAAATTCAACAATGAGTGGTTTGGAAGGAATCAGTGGCTAACTGCAAGCCTTGCAAAGCAATCACTAGTTTGTTATTCAGTGGAGTGGGTGTGTGGTCCAAGTCTGGGTTTAAGGGTCTCTTTTCCAAGCTTAAAAGCATAAACATTCACATGCCATGGGCCAGAAAAGGTTAAATACATTGGCCTGCTGTTAATCTGATGCGTTCAAAACAACTAAAAACTCGGAACTGGGAAATCTCAGACTTCAGTGAGTTCAAGACAACTGGGAACTCTGAAAAAAACGAGCTCCGACTGGGAAAATACTTTTTGAAATTCCAAGTCGGGAACTCGGGCCTCTTTCTAGAGCTCCGACCTGAAGATCACTGACGTCATAATTTTTGAGTTCCCAGTTGTCTTGAAAGCACCATAAATCCAGGGAACGCCAGACTTTGATGACAAAGTTTGATGACAAAATTTGCCCACAAGGACCGCCGCGCCACCTTCCTGTTTAAGTGAGCACAGCACAACAAGGTGAGTCCAAAAATGTATTGTATGCTGCTGCATAAATTATGTAATATGCCAGGGAGATATGTATACTGTAGCTAAGGAAGTAATACTAAGTGTATGTTGTATAGTAAGCTGTTAGTAGCCCATGTGCCTCACCCTAATAATGTGGTCCCTTTGCCCCTCTTAACTTAGCCTACTGTTCTGACTTGGTGGTGCACATGTAGCCTATAGACTGTTTTAGAGAAATGTAATCATCTAATATTGTAAGAGCTTTCTTTGTCTGCTTATATGCCCCCTTTATTTATTCTACGGTTCTGACTTGGTGTACAGGGAGAATACTGTAAGAACGGCCCATGTTCTGAATTCTGTCACTGTACATTCCAAAAGTGCTGAACAAATAGTTATATTGACTACGTCTGTCCTAGCTCGCTCATTAATGTCTTTATTGAAATTACGGATTGCCTTTAATCCGCTCATCGTCCCCTTATGCCATAGTTTGTACATCTCAATTGTCAGTAGAAACCACATTTGTTTAGGAAAGTCAGCCATATCAGCTATGTTTTTTTTAAAGGCAGTAAATGAGGCTGCATTAACTATTTCGCTGCCAGACAAAGCTCTGCTGATAGCCAGATGTAGCAGTGGTAAGGATTCACTCCATGGTGCTGAAAAGAAAGCTCTGCTGTTCGGACAGCTTTATGTGGGCCCTAACAGTTTGTGGGCACCGTTTGCCACCATTATAGTTCAATTAATGTATTGTTTAGTGTTGTGTTGTGTTGTGTTGTCGTGTGTAGTGGCTTTGCTGGCATGCATCTAAAAATATATTTTTTAATTTGCCCCACCAAGATTTACATGCTAACATCGCCACTGTACCTCACTATCATCAAGATACCCTCCCCAAAGAGCCCTCCCTCCCCATTATGTCTGACATCAACGACGGAAAGCCAGAGGCATCTGGTGATGTGCCATTGAAAACGCAAACTCAAAATTCTATACATGCTTACATGAAATTGTGTTAGGCCTACTACTAATTTATTTTGATGCGGGACGTGAAAGCCTCTTTTTCACATTGACTACAATGGAGATAGTGGTAGATTGATATCTTAACTTTATTAGCTGTTATCTAGAAAATATTGGTTAGCTGCCTACTGCAAATTAGTTATTCTTACTGTCATAAATCATATATTGTCTATTATGAGGTGGAGATCATCACAGATTGCCCCGCAAAATAAGACAGTGGAATACCATTCAACCCACACATTTAACCCCTTATTGCGTGTGTGTATGTGTAGTGAGTGAGCGAGCGAACGAGAGAGAGCGCGCGTACTTGTACCTGCCTTCGTGTGTAGCCTACCTGCGTGCGTCCTTGCATCCTTTATCAACCATAGACTGTAAATACATGCCATATCATCAAGATTGGCTGTGTATTGCACCGTGTGTCGTGTGTTGCTTTAAAGGGGCGTTCGGCCGCATATTCACAATCCGCCAGAGTGTAAACTGAAGAGAGGGACTCTTTTGAAGCAAATAGCTGTCCTTGTGCAATTGAATCAACAGCAACAGTGGGTCGCAATGGGAGGTAAGATGTTTCAATAATTTCGTTTTTCTATTTGAATAGGCAAAAAAAAATCGATGAAAAAAATATCAACATAGGTTTGAATGCCTCGGCAGCTTTCGTATGATACGGTTATGTTTTCTTATTCCAGAGGCCGAGACGCGTCAGAAATTGCTGCGCAATGTGAAGAAAGAGGTGGGTGCCTATATATTTGCAATGTTTATAACAACTAATTATTAGAAGCAACCGTTGGTCATGGATCGCTGGCAGCAGTTCTGTTTTATTGGGATGGCCAAAATTAGATTGTAAAATAGGGAGGTCTGATCAAATTGATATGCTTCAATAAAATGTAGCCTAATTGTGAAAATGTAGCCTAATATGCTTCTTTGGATCGTGATTTAATTATAAAGGGTGCGCTCATGCGTTCAGTGGCGACTTGGATTGAAATACTTGGATTATAGCCTATGCAGAGAAATCATAATCATCATTTGGGCTCAGTAGGTAGCCTAGGCAATACCGTCAAGATCAATGTAACGGTTAAGGTATGGATCCGTTATCTGCATGTGAATACGTGTGCATGTCACAGTGCAGAGCCAATGAGCATCACCATTTATATAATTATTGATAACAGCTCTTACATGTGATGTCTTTCATGTTAATGCTCGTGCTGTAATGGAGGGCAATTCAATTCACTGGGCATGCTAATATCTCAGATAGCCTATTGCCCCTCTCTCTTTTATATAAAAAACAACATCAAATAAATTGATAAGATTATGTCTTGCTTCATCCAGTGTTTAGAAAGTTAATGTGGAACTGACAGCATTTGAGCAACATTAAATCTTATTCAAATCTGTTCATATACACCTCCAGAAAGAATATTACACTTTGTTTTACATTTTCTGACAAGCGAGCACTAAGATATGGTCATTTTCATAAATTATTATGATGTTGCTGTTGTTCCATGACAGTTTATTATTTGGCGACTCATCGTTATCTGACCCCACCACCTCTGCCAGAGACCCCCATCTGTTAGCTACAGCCATATCATACTTCTTCAAAGGAAAGTTGGCTCATGGTATAGTTCGGCTGCAGCATTAGGGATACCTGAAAGGGAGAAAGGAGACTTCCTCCCTGTCTGGCTCCTTTTCTTTGTAGCTGCATGCTGGTGTATCCTCTGTCCATTTAAGAGTTGCACTTTGTTGTTTTGTGCTGATAGAAAACAAAAACTACATCATTAGCAGCAGACTGTATAGTGTATTCATTTGTATGGATAGCACTGACCAGTGGTGTAGTGTAGGGTAAACGCAAGTAAACGCAGTTTACCCAGCTTTTGCGTTCAAAGTTTACACACCTATTTTTTGTATTATCACTATGTCTCTGGCCCTGTCCAGCTTTGTGACATTTTTAGATGAGGGAAAAAACGGTATGGACAACAGACCAAGTGATTGGCTATTCACTTTCATTGTTTGTAATTATGAGAGCTTCATTTTTGACAGAGCTGAAAAAATTAATGGGTGACTTTCATTGGTGATACATTTTAGAATGTTATCTATAGATAGTTTATCATCATATCAGTTATCTGTATCTCTCACTACACACACTTACAGTACACGCGCACCATCACACACACACGCAGACACCCACACACCCCCACACACACACACACATGCACATGACAAGTTATTCATGGCAGCAATTCTTATTGTGAGTCTTGTGAAGGCAATCATTGGGTCTGGTGCCCGCTGGGGGGTAAACAGGATGTTTTATTCAGTAGTGTGCGGATTGGACACTTCCAGGTTTAGCTTCACCATGCTCTCAGTCACCTGTGTGTGACTCATTGCATGTGGAGGCCTCCTCACACTGGGGACATGACTGGCACCAGGCTGTGCAGCAAGGAAAAGGGTCTTAGTTGGTGATACTAAATATACTGTATCTCAAACCCTGACTGTTTTTTCCCATTTTTTCGAGTAGATCTTATTGAATTTCTATCAATTTCCTCACAATGTTCACAATTACTCTGCACTGTATAATTTCATAATCTGGGAATTGGTCACACTATATTTTACTATTGCGTGTTTGTTGTGTTTTATTTTGAGGTTATATGAGAAATACTAAGATAACATAAGCAGCTTCATCAAACAACCTAAAAGTTATCTCAGAGACATTTCACTGGAAAATCATTGAAAATATACACTTTAGTCGCTCCTTTTACGCTAGTCAAGCTCTGTCTTGTCTGAAGTGATACATATCTACCACCCTTTCTGTCTCTAGTCTGTCAATAAGTATCTGCACGCTTGCTTGCATTCCCTCGCCACCCTCCCTCTGCCTGCCCGTGATTATCTATTGTTGCATAATCACTCCCCATCCTTCCCTCCTTCCACGCTTTGATTTTCTTTCTGTTTCCTCATGTCAGAACCGGTCTCTTTATCTGCCGGTCGAATTAAACCCAACTTCACCTTTAACTCTCTTTTCTTCCCAGGTGAAACAGATCATGGAGGAAGCAGTGACTCGGAAGTTTGTGCACGCAGACAGCAGCCATATAATATCCTTCTGTGGTGAGTGTGTTCATGAAGTAGTATATTACTTATTTAATCAGTGTTGCAGATTTTACAAAAGTATTGACAGTTCATAGGTTATGCAGTTAGATTAGGGATGGATTCATTAAACTGATCTACAGTAACTGTTTATTAAATGTACTTGATGGTGTTGTACACAAAATCATTACACCAAATCTACAAGCCCACTGAAGGACTTCAGAGGCATATGGCAGTGCTCCAGTGATTTGATGGGAGGGAGGGTGCCATGGTTGATGGGCAGGCCTAGCTGCATAGCTGATCTGGGTGGGTCTAAGTGTCGATTCAATGACTGCTTAGCTTATGTGTAACATATGCACAAGTGCTTGGTTTATCATCTTGGAGCAAACACCATTATGATTGTAATGAGAGCAAGAGAGGAGTGGATAGAAGCAAGAGATTGTGGCAAGTAAGAAACACATGTTTCGTGAGATGAGTAACCTTATCTCCAAAGATCACCTTTCTCTCTCTTATCACAGACCCATGCATTGCTGCTATTCTCTATCAACTGAAGAATCACTGTTGGTTTGAACTAGTGCTTTGTAACACATAGGATTATTGTTACATTAACAGCACAGCAGTAAGATTCTGGAGTCAAAAGCAGGGGGATTATTATTTGGCCCCCCAGGTTTTCTGAGCAAAATGTTTATATATTTATTTATTTATGTTTTTCATTTTTTATTGTTGGACATATCAGCTCCAAGTGATTTTAATTTTGGAAATCTGTTCCAAACTATTCCCACACATAATAGAGAGATACAGTGTATGTAATCGTAAACAAATGTAAGCAATGTTTGAAATGATTATGTTTAGTAAAATATTATATCTGTTTGGACTTCTTGCGGTCAATTTCCAGTCAATCAATTATATGTAATCACGTTCCGCCCCCCTGACCATCCGATCAAGAAAAAATCTGCCCGCGGCTGAATCTAGTTGATGATTCCTGCCATAGAAATACAGTTAATTTCACATAAAAAGTCTGAACTGATTGCATGGTCAGACATTTACTCATGACTACATTGACATTTACAGAGCAAAGTGACATCAGGCATCATCCTGTGGAGTTGAAATGTCAAACCCTGTCAAGTCCTGCCACCTCCTACTACCCCAATCTGCGTATGGTCACATTCTCAACCAACACAGCTTGATTTTAGGCTGTCTCTTATTCTTTACAATGGCTGTGGCCAGAGCCCGCCTAAAATCAAGCTGTGTTGGTTGAGAATGTGACCGTACACAGATTGGGGTAGTAGGAGGTGGCAGGGCTTGACAGGGCTTGACATTTCCACTCCCACAGGATAACGCCTGATGTCACTTTGCTCTGCAAATGTAGGTCTATCTGTGTTAAATTGAACTGTCAGCAGACAGGTAGGGCAGGTCAAGCCACCCTTTGTCACCACCCCAACAGGGGGAATTCATTACAATATTCAAAGGTGTTGATACTACACCTCCACACATCCACGGATACCCTACACTCTTAGAAAAAATGGTTCCAAAAGGGTTCTTTGGGGGAGGGATAGGGTTCTACCAAGAACCATTTTGATCAGAATAACTCTTTCTGGAAGACAAGGTTTCTTTGTAAGGCAAAGGGTTCTACCTAGAAGAACCTTTAACATCCTAAGAACGATTTTGTGGAAGAAAGGGTTCTTTGATAACTCATTGGAAGGCAAGAAGGATTCTTTGGAAGACAAGAAGGGTTCTAAATAAAACCATATATAATATTTCCCAGCATGCTCTATTGCAGGGAGATTTTCAGAATTGTTTTACTGTAATATCTGTGTTTTTGCATGTACATTGATTGGTTGATTAATTTTATGCTACACAAAGATAAATAACATACAGTTTTCTAAACTAATCCAATCTGTTGGATTTATTGCACCTGTTACTGAGATGTTTGTTCCAGTTTAGATGATTGAGGTAGTCTCAGTATTCTTCCCTACCCTGGCAGTCATTCTGGATGCGGGTTGCGGGTGATTAACAATTGCACTTGTTGGATATCCTAACTCTGGCTGGATTCCAATAGAAATTACAAATCACTTTACAAGCCAGCATAATGTGACTTGCAGGCCAGATGTGGCCTGTACACCAGGAGACTCCTAACACCACTGTGTAAGGGTATAACTAGGCCCTCAAAGAAAGGCTTGATGTATATAATGTATTGTCATAAATAATACAATTTTAAAGGCTAATAAGGCTAGTAGAACCCTTCATAGACAGTTCTAGGAAGAACCTTTAGATGATCAAATGGTTCTTGGTAGAACCCTTCATAGACAGTTCTAGGAAGAACCTTTAGATGATAAAATGGTTCTTGGTAGAACCCTTCATAGAGGGTTTTAGGTAGAACCATATACAGGGGGTTCTTTGAAGAATCCTACATAGAGGGTTCTAGATAAAACCCTCTGCAAAGGGTTCTACCCAGCACCAAAAAGGGTTCCCCAATGGGGACAAACCGAAGAACCCTGTATGGCACCTTTTTTTCTAAGAGTGTAGCAACAGTAAACAGCGTTTGTCGGTTTTCAGTCTATTTCTGGTCCTGCTGAGAGCCACCTGCACCTGCCCTCCAACCCATCCCTGCCTCTCTGCAGTTAGCACTCAGATTGTCCAAGGGTTTCTCACTTCATTTTCACTGGGTGCTCCTGAAAAACTCAATATCAAACTCTGCAAGGGAAATCCATAAACAGTATGTGGTTTACTTGTTGTTTACAATATATGCAATCATAGCTTAGTGAATATCGCTTTGGGGAAAGCCAAACTCTGTGTTTACTGTTGGTGTCTGTATATTCTGTACTATGCGTGTCTACAGCTGTAGTGGAGGCATGTGTGCTCCATGGGCTGAAGAGGCGAGCAGCAGGCCTCCTGTGCAGTAATAAGGTAGCAGCACTCTTCATGAAGGTGGGGAAGAGCTTTACCCCGGTGGAGGAACTGTGTCAAAAGGTCCAGGAACTAGAGCAGCTCATCGAGACCAAGTAAGACATTGATCTAACTCTAACCCCCCCCCACACACACATACACACATACGTTAAATGTATACAACATTTGTATCAAACTCTCCTTTCCTCTCTGTATTCTCCAGCAGACAGGCTCAACTAAATAATGTCAGTGTTCCGAAACAACCCAGGGTGACCAACCTCCCTCCTCAGGGCTTGAGGAACCTGTGGATCCGCACTGCTCTCATGGAGAAGCTTCTGGACAAGATTGTCATGTACCTAGTAGAGAACAGCAGGTTAGCAATTAATAAACTGATCAGCTTCCAGTTGATAGGCTGACATTGTGTTTGATCTTACAAATACCAACAGTTGTAGCTGTTCAATATGTATAGCCTACTACTTATATCCCTTTCACACTAAAACGTTTTTCTGGTGACTTTACCATACCGCCAACTTTTTCCGCCTCTTCCTTACATCTGAAAGGTATTGCCTGTATCAAAGGCAAAACTTTTATTTCCGTCTAACAACCCAATAATCATTTTGGTAAAGTTCTGCCTACGGCTTAGTATGAAACGTAGCCGTAATGCTGAGGCGGCATTGGCACGCACTACGCTCTTAAACTCTTGATGGTTGCTAGGGTGCGGCAGTTAACCATCCTCCTACCAGTTCTACAATTAGGCTGGGGAAATGTTAGCTAAGTTGAGGTGAGTGCTGCTCATGATCATCTTGTCTAGTTGGCTCATTATTTAGGACATTTTGCCAGCATGTTATGTAGTTTAACAAGTGTATTAATTTGCTCTTCACTCACAGACGCTTGGTAGCCTAGGCCTACTCCCAACCAAAACCTTGTGACTTCACTGACTTGTCTCAATCAATGTGATTTTGTTTAACTGAATCTCTGTCTGTATAGGCTATTTGGTTAATTGGTTTCTGGCTGGGAAAATACTGTAAGTGGAGGTGGTATAGCTCATCTATTAGTTTGCTCATCTACAGTATCGCTTTTTTATATGACAGCTGCTCCACACATTCCCGTGACACAAGCTGTGTGGGAAAAATATTATTTGTATTTTATTCTGTTATATTCTATTATATTCTTACTACAAAATATATGCGTGTGGACTGTGATCGGGGTAGGTGTGTCTTGACTGTTTAATTAACAAAATTGATTTCATTTATTTGGATGTAACATAATTAAACTCCAAATATACCATTCTATTGTTTTGAAAATGTATTTTATTAGTCTTATAATGTTTTGTAGGACCTGCCTAAACAAATTAATAATGGATTTATTTTTGATGGTGTACTGTATATTCAATGGATTTATTAAAATAAACGCCCACCCACATCTGCACACCACTACTACCACTTGTCACCGGTCTGCCGGCATGTGCACGGGAGGTATAAAAGGCGTGTGTAGGCAAGAATGTGGTAAAAATGGGCCTGTTTGTAAGGGGGTCATATAAACATTGGCCATTTGTTTTTACAGCCAAAATACTGTAAATCCTATGTGAAAACAGTATTATAGTCACTTTTCAGGGAACATGCAGCAATGCCGCTTCTTGCACCATTTTTAGTAAACATGGTTTTCTCTCTTCCAGTACTTTCTATGACAGGGAGGCCATTCTAATGGATGCTGTGGATGGACCAATCCTTGCCTCTCTGTTAGGTATTGATGGACCTCTTCTTATGGCTTCTATTGCCAGGATGTGGCCGGACGGATCTCTGATAAGATAAGAAATAACACATTGAATGGCACATTACAGTGAATGTGACTCCCTCTGAGATAACCTATAGATACAACATGACATAGGAGACTAGTGCTTAACAGTGGATATTACCTTATTTCAGATAAGGACATACATGTAGCTCTGTGGTTTAGAACATAAATATACTGGTTACTAACTCCAAATTAACATTGTACTCACACTTATAACAGACAAGTGCATTTACCTCTTCCTGTGAAGGTAACAATGACATTGCTGGTACTTCAATCTTTCACTCTGGATGATGATGATTCAGTACATTGCTTTAGGGGCTAGGGGCTGGTCCTCTGTAGCTCAATTGGTAGAGCATGGCGCTTGTAACGCCAGGGTAGTGGGTTCGATCCCCGGGACCACCCATACGTAAAAAAATGTATGCACACATGACTGTAAGTCGCTTTGGATAAAAGCGTCTGCTAAATGGCATAATATATTATATATTATATTATAAATAGTGATTTCACCTTTCCACGCCCAAACTGTTGTGGATCTTAGTGTTTTGTTGCTCTTACTCTTGCAGTCGGCCCCTGTGCTCTGGAATACACTAAGGTGAAGACAGCCGACCACTTCTGGACAGACCCCTCTGCTGATGAGCTAGTCCAGAGACACCGCATCCATAGTGGCCACTGTCGCCAGGACTCCCCCTCCAGGCGACCTGCCCTGGTCAGTGTATGGATGATGTGTTTGTAAATGAATGATGCGTTGTGAAATATATGATGTATAAAGAATAGTCCAATGGTCTTTTCTAATAGATCCAGAAGAGGCAGTCCAGTGGCAGTATGGAGGACCGGCCCATCCTGTGGGCTAGGGACTATGTTGAGTCCCTCCATCAGAACAACAGGGCTACACTGCTGTTTGGCAAGAACAATGTCCTGGTGCAGCCGGTGTGTGTATGTGTTTGTGTGTGTGTGTGTGTGTGTGTGTGTGTGATTTAAAGGATCTGACATAGCTTTTTAACAGCAGGGAATGCTTTTTAGCAAATCTATTTTCTTGGTCAACAGAGGGATGACATGGAGGCTATCCCAGGGTACCTGTCTCTCCACCAGACTGCAGATCTCATGACCCTGAAATGGACACCTAACCAGCTCATGAATGGCACTGTGGCAGATGACACTGAAAAAAGGTAATATAATATCAAATCACAGTAATAGAAACATATTCTGACACTCATATTTGTCCACAAAGAGCATGCCAAATTATATATGATTTGTTCACTCTTATTGATTTTCCTACAGTGTTTACTGGGACTTTGCCATGACTATTCGCCTGGCGGAGATTGTTTATCTGCACTGCCATCAGCAAGGTACAGGAACCTCTCTTAATTATGTAGGCCTATAGCTTTGTATACATTTGCTTGTGTGTTCTTGACCTTGTGATCATGTTTTTTCCCAGTGGACAGTGGTGGGACAGTGGTTCTGGTGAGTCAGGATGGGATCCAGAGGCCTCCACTGCGGTTCCCCCGGGGAGGACACCTGCTCCAGTTCCTGACCTGCCTGGAGACGGGCCTGCTGCCACACGGACAACTGGATCCTCCGCTCTGGTCCCAGAGGGGAAAGGTCTGCATGGAACATATAAATGCCCCAGATAAAGTCCCATTCTGAATTCATGACAATTATTCCGATCTCAATTAATGTTTACTGTAGCTATTATGTCCACATCCACTAAATCAAGCCTGATGGTATGATTTAGCTAGTTGTTTCTTGTAACATTAGAAATAGGCTCATAAGTAGCAGTATTTCTGTTGTTTGACTGAGGATAACTCTGATCTCTGTGTTAGTACACTGCTGCCAGAGGAATACTTTTACACTGACATTGATCTTATCCACCAATTTAGCCTCCAAGTATAAAATAACCTTGACCTGCCAAAGCAAAGGGAACAACATGTGAAGGTTTTGATATGGGTTGTGATGATGAACGTGGTAGTGATAGCAGAGCTGAGACTATAATTCACAGGCTGCAGTAGAAGATAGCTTTGTAAGGGTTGTGGTATATTACCTGGCGTGGGGAGTGAAAGACTATAAAGCCTAGGAGTTTAGGTGTGAGTGGGGTCTTAATACATCCTCTGGATAACATGAAGGACATTTGCAAGACCAAGGACAAGGACATTGACTTGAGATTGGCGTTCTCAGGCTGGATCATTAATTGTATCTAGCCTAGTCTTGCGTCAAAATTAAATGATAGGGATCAGAGTTTTAGAGTAAGATCAAATAAACTTTAATCACTCTCGCGAATCATCATCATAACATCCTTTTGTCTTATACTGAGTGCAGTACCTTCCTTTGCCTACAGGGAAAGGTTTTCCCTAAATTGCGGAAGAGGAGTCCGCAGGGGTCTGTGGAGTCTGTGTCGGATAAAGAGGAGGACGAGGCCACTGATTATGTCTTTCGGATCCTGCTCCCTGGTACTCCGTCAGACTTTGGTATGTCACTTGTGATCTCTTTATTCTGTATCGATTTTCTGTTCAAATATGTACTGAATATACTTTTCATTCGTTTTTTTCTCTCTCTCTCATTGTTTGTTTTGTTGACCATTGTCCCACCTGCCTTCCCTCAGCCCCTCTCTGTCCAGCCCTTGTGTCTCTGCCTGTATCTGTAGTCCTGTGAACCTGCGAACACCCTCCATTAGTTACCCTGGATTTGAGACCATGCATGGGCATTAAGTTGTCTTTGTCACACCGCCATCTTCTGGCTTGGTTTGTCAATATTTACATGTTTATTATTAAAGAAAGTCACCCTAATCCTCCATCAGTTCTAGATGATCATGTAGCTGCTGCTAATGACAATAACAATAACGACGATGTTCCTGCTGATGGTAACATTGACCCTGTTTGCTGTCCAGTGGCTCCAGAGCTGATGGACCAGGCGTTGAACATGTGGCACCCAACTCCCAGGAAGTCCTCCTGTTTCTCCTGCTCTCTGAACGGATCCCCTGTTGGCTCGCTACCCAACGGCTGCAACCAGGACAGGGCTCCCCTGAAACTCCTCTGTGACACCATGAAGTACCAGATAATTTCCCGTGCTTTCTATGGCTGTGAGTACATGCATCTTGAATTCATTTTGGAAAGACTGATTCAAATGCTATATTCTTCATGCAGTGGCATACTGTAGTTTCGCAGGGGCCCTGCAAGGTCTGGTGGTGGGGGGCGGAGCCCGTCTTGCGGGAACGTGTGGTACGCCAGTGTCTTCATGTTATGGTTGGATTGATAACCATGCACGTTTCTTCACTTCTTCATTGAAGGGCTTGCCTACTGCCGTCACCTGTCCACCGTTCGTATCCACCTCTCTGCCCTGGTCAACTCCACCATCGTCAACCCTGACGTGCCACATGATGCCCGTGAAGGGCTCACTGTGGATGTCTGGAGCAGCTTCCTCCAGGACTGCTCTGTAAGATCTACTGTACCATCTGCTCATCATTCTAAACACACTGTACACACAACCACAACCTGCAGTGATTGTGTATGTTCTACAGGGTTTAGCTAACTGCTCACAGTGCGAATGTATCTGCCTTCATCAACATCAACATCCCACTGAGAGGCATACAGAACCACACAGCAACTGATGACAGTACTATATTGAGTCTGTACAGTGGCTTGCGAAAGTATTCACCACCCTTGGCATTTTTCCTATTTGTTGCCTTACAACCTGGAATTAAAATAGATTTTGGGGGGGTTTGTATCATTTGATTTACACAACATGCCTACCACTTTGAAGATGCAAAATATTTTTTCTTGTGAAACAAACAAGAAATAAGACATAAAAAGAGAAAACTTGAGCATGCATAACTATTCACCCCCCCAAAGTCAATACTTTGTAGAGCCACCTTTTGCAGCAATTACAGCTGCAAGTCTCTTGGGGTACAGCTGCAAGTCTCTTGACTCCCGAGTGGTGCAGTGGTCTAAGGCAGTGCTAGCTGTGCCACTAGAGGTCCAGGCTCTGTCGCAGCCGGCCGCAACCGGGAGACCCATGGTTCGAGTTCAGGCTCTGTCGCAGCCGGCCGCAACCGGGAGACCCATGGGCGGCGCACAATTGGTCCAGCGTCGTCCAAGGTAGGGGAGGGTTTGGCCGGCAGGGATGTGGGTTCGCCTTATACCACTCAAGTGTTGCTTTAGCAGTATGCTTAGGGTCATTGTCCTGCTGGAAGGTAAACCTCTGTCCCAGTCTCAAATCTCTGGAAGACTGAAACAGGTTTCCCTCAAGAATTTCCCTGTATTTAGTGCCATCCATCATTCCTTTCAATTCTGACCAGTTTCCCAGTCCCTGCCGATGAAAAACATCCCCACATCATGATGCTGCCACCACCATGCTTCTCGGGGTGATGAGAGGTGTTGGGTTTGCGCCAGACATAGCGTTTTCCTTGATGGCCAAAAAGCTAAATTTTAGTCTCAACTGACCAGAGTACCTTCATCCATATGTTTGGGGAATCTCCCACATGGCTTTTGGCGAACACCAAACGTGTTTGCTTATTTTTATCTTTAAGCAATGGCTTTTTTCTGGCCACTCTTCTGTAAAGCCCAGCTCTATGGAGTGTACGGCTTAAAGTGGTCCTATGGACAGATACTCCAATCTCCACTGTGGAGCTTTGCAGCTCAGTTGGTAGAGCATGGCGTTTGCAACACCAGGGTTGTGTGTTCGTTTCCCATGGGGGGCCAGTATAAAAAAATATATAAAAAATGTATGCTCCGGATAAGAGCGTCTGCTAAATGACTAAAATGTTAAATGTTATCTTTGGTCTCTTTGTTGCCTCTCTGATTAATGCCCTCCTTGCCTGGTCCGTGAGTTTTGGTGCGCGGCCCTCTCTTGGCAGGTTTGTTGTGGTGCCATATTAATTCAATTTTTTAATAATAGATTTAATGGTGCTCTGTGGGATGTTCAAAGTTTCGGATATTTTTTTATAACCCAACCCTGATCTGTACTTCTCCACAACTTTGTCCCTGACCTGTTTGGAGAGCTCCTTGTTCTCCATGGTGCTGCTTGTTTGGTGGTGCCCCTTGCTTAGTGGTGTTGCAGACTCTGGGGCCTTTCAGAACAGGTGTATATATACTGAGATCATGTGACAGATCATGTGACACTTAGATTCCACACAGGTGGACTTTATTTAACTAATTATGTGACTTCTGAAGGTAATTGGTTGCACCAGATCTTATTTAGGGGCTTCATAGCAACAGGGGTCAATACATATGCACTCACCACTTTTCCGTTATTTATTTTTTAGAATATTTTGAAACAAGTGATTTTTTTCATTTCACTTCACCAATTTGGACTATTTTGTGTATGTCCATTACATGAAATCCAAATAAAAATCAATTTAAATTACAGGTTGTAATGCAACAAAATAGGAAAAACGCCAAGGGGGATGAATACTTTTGCAAGGCACTGTATGTAATCACATTCACAACCTTTTCTCCTGCAGGTATATGATGAGCAAGAGCTTCTGCGGCTGGTGTACTATGGTGGTGTGGATCCTACAATACGCAAGGAGGTCTGGCCATTCCTGCTGGGTCACTACCACTTCGATATGACCGAGAAATGTAGGATGGAGGTGGGCACTGTTATATTGTGGTAAAATTACAAACTCAGGAATCAAAGTAGGGAGGAGGGTCAAATGTAATACCATTACACACTAGTGACCCTGTGTGTTTATCTGTGTGTATAGGTGGACGAGCAGGTGCGGGCCTGCTATGAGCAGACTATGAAGGAGTGGCTGGGCTGTGAGACCATCGTAAAGCAGAGTGAGGGGGAGAAGCATGCTGAAGCCATAGCCAAGTGCAACTCTGTGGCCAGTGTTGACAGACCAGGACCAGTGCAGCAAGACTCCACCATCAGTACTGATGTAAGGGGGTCATACCTGTCCCATTTGATGGCAATACATGACAGAATTTGTGACTCATACTCATATGGTTAACACACTTACATACGTCTCTCCCCATGCTGTTCCGGTCTCTTCCTGGTTGGCATTTGGCTCATCCTCCTACACCAGTCCTCACAGAGCATTGGTTCAGACAAACAGATTGTCCACTCACAGAGTGACTCCAGCAGTAGCACACAGGTACAGTATGTTTATACTGAAGGATTTTAATATAATATATTGATGACACTTAGTATTCACTGTCCTATGGTCTGCTGTTGCAGGCATTTTGGTCTGTCGAGGAAGTGGATCTGATTGAATCTGAGACAAAGCTAGAGAAAAGAAAAGAGCAGTCCATAACCCCAATGAAAGACCTCCGAGATGTAGCCATCCCAAATGATACCTCAGACTCTGGGGACCCATCCTTCTGCAACTTGTCTGTTGACTCAGGTCTTCCAGAACAGCCTCAAAGCACAAACAACAACAACAGTCATGTATCTGACTCACCAGTCAGACCAGCAGCCACTCAGCCATCACCAGAGCCATCAGCGGCCCAAGGAGCTGCATCTAGCCCAGTGGCCAAGGCTGAGCCACCCCTAATAGAGAGTCCTTTCACTGTCTTGGGAACTGAAGGTGAAACTGAAGAACTGAAGCTGCCGATAACAGTTGATAACAAGGCTGCATCAGCTGGAGAGTTCAAGGCCCCAGAGCGTGAAGTGGTTGAAAGCTCAAAATTGGTAGACATCGGGAAAACCTCAGAAAAGGTTGAAGAGGGTTCTGACAAAGAATATGTAAAGTCCTTAGGAAATGTTGAAATGGAAGAAAACAAAGTTATAGCAGATGGGTTGTCTGAAGTTTCCACCACAAAAGACCCAAATCTCTTTGTGAGAGCAGCTTTTGCAACTGAGAATACTGATATTCTCAAACTAGAAATTGAGGTTTCTAATGTATATATTCCAGCACCGCGACTAGGCGAGGCCACAGTTACTAAAACACAAAAGAGCAAAGCCCCAGCGACAGAGCCCTTCTGTCCCACAGAGCCATCTGTAACAGAAGGAAACAAAGATTCAACAACGATACGGGAGGCTGGTATTGCTGGAAAAGAGGACACAACCTCCTCTGACATTGAAGAAATCACAGAATCTGAATTTCTAAAAATTCAAACCCCTCAAACCAGCAAGGCTTGTGTTTGTGAGAAAGACATGGATAGTACTAAAGGAAAGGTTGCAAAAGTATTCGAAACCAAACCATTAGTCGGTGTCCCTGAGAAATACAATAACACAGCTCCAGAAAAGACAGTTGCCATAGATTCAGAGAAACATGCACCTGCATTGCCAGTACTGAATCCACCCCCGCCTGAGGCCAGGGCCAGTGTTACAGTGACAGCCCCCTCTAGGCGATCTCCTGATACACTAGATTCTGATGACTCGCCCTCCGCCTTAGAGATGGAGGACATTCCCACGGCCTGGGCTAGACCCTTGTCTGGCCTGATGGCTCCCCCACAAGCCCCCTTGGCCCTCGGGAGAGTTGGCTCAGGGGAGCCTGTCCTGGATGCACGCTCCAACACCAGTCCTGATGGAACAGAGCCAGCCCTGTCTGAGGAGGAGCCTGAGATAGAGAGTCTCTACCCTCAGTCTGAATCTGTGGTTGCGACAAAGGAACTCAAACCTGAGGTCTCACCTGCAGGGACTATCTATTCTGTAAGTACTCCAAATGAGTTACCTACTGTATGTGTACTGTAATGAATGTCACAGATTTTGAGGTTGATTGGCTAAGAGTTGGTTTAACATACAGTACCCAACTGGCTACAGAGCTGACACAATGCTGGTATGAATGACGAAACAATAGCCATTTGAAGTTGAACAACTTTAACTCATCTTAGTCCCTTTTGTCACTCTGTGCAGCAAGAGCAGCTGGATTTGTACTTGCTCAACCTGCATCGCATTGATAAGGACGTGAGACGCTGTGACAGATCCTACTGGTACTTCACCCCTGCTAACCTGGAAAAACTACGCAACATAATGTGCAGTTATGTGTGGCAGCATCTGGAGATTGGCTATGTCCAGGGCATGTGTGATCTGCTGGCTCCTTTACTGGTCATTCTGGATGATGGTCAGTCTGCATGAACAATAGCTCTCTTATACTGCATAATATTACTGCATCATTTGCAGACATGAGTAAGATAACATTCATCATTTGCTGTTTATTTGTGTCTGTGTGTTACCCAGAGGTCATGGCTTTCAGCTGCTTCTCTGAGTTGATGAAAAGGATGAATCACAACTTCCCCCATGGAGGGGCCATGGACTCACACTTTGCCAACATGCGCTCCCTCATCCAGGTACCATAAACACGTATGCTCACACACACGCACATATATTCACAGTCACACATGCAAATTATTATAAGTACAGTGATATTACTTTGTAGTAACAGATAGGCACTCTCATATTTTTTTCTGCTAGATCCTTGATTCAGAGCTCTTTGAAGTGATGCAGATGAATGGAGACTACACTCACTTCTACTTCTGCTACCGCTGGTTCCTGCTAGACTTCAAACGAGGTGCTGACATCTGCATGAGCATGTCTTACATCGCACACAGTGCCTTGCAAAAGTATTCATCCCCCTTGGCGTTTTTCCTATTTTGTTGCATTACAACCTGTAATTTAAATGGATGTTTATTTGGATTTCATGTAATGGACAGACACAAAATAGTCCAAATTGGAGAAGTGAAATGAAAAAAATCACTTGTTTCAAAAAATTCAAAAAAATAAATAACGGAAAAGTGATGCGTGCATATGTATTGACCCCCGTTGCTATGAAGCCCCTAAATAAGATCTGGTGCAACCAATTACCTTCAGAAGTCACATAATTAGTTAAATAAAGTCCAACTGTGTGCAATATAAGTGTCACATGATCTGTCACATGATCTCAGTATATATACACCTGTTATGAAAGGCCCCAGAGTCTGCAACACCACTAAGCAAGGGGCACCACCAAGCAAGCAGCACCATGAAGACCAAGGAGCTCTCCAAACAGGTCAGGGACAAAGTTGTGGAGAAGTGCAGATCAGGGTTGGGTTATAAAAAAATATCCGAAACTTTGAACATCCCACAGAGCACCATTAAATCCATTATTAAAAAATTGAAATAATATGGCACCACAACAAACTTGCCAACAGAGTGCCGCGCACCAAAACTCACGGACCAGGCAAGGAGGGCATTAATCAGAGAGGCAACAAAGAGACCAAAGATAACCCTGAAGGAGCTGCAAAGCTCCACAGTGGAGATTGGAGTATCTGTCCATAGGACCACTTTAAGCCGTACACTCCATAGAGCTGGGCTTTACAGAAGAGTGGCCAGAAAAAAGCCATTGCTTAAAGAGAAAAATAAGCAGGTACTCTGGTCAGTTGAGACTAAAATTTAGCTTTTTGGCCATCAAGGAAAACGCTATGTCTGGCGCAAACCCAACACCTCTCATCACCCCGAGAACACCATCCCCACAGTGAAGCATGGTGGTGGCAGCATCATGCTGTGGGGATGTTTTTCATCGGCAGGGACTGGGAAACTGGTCAGAATTGAAAGGAATGATGGATGGCACTAAATACAGGGAAATTCTTGAGGGAAACCTGTTTCAGTCTTCCAGAGATTTGAGGCTGGGACAGAGGTTTACCTTCCAGCAGGACAATGACCCTAAGCATACTGCTAAAGCAACACTCGAGTGGTTTAAGGGAAAACATTTAAATGTCTTGGAATGGACTGGTCAAAGCCCAGACCTCAATCCAATTAAGAATCTGTGGTATGACTTAAAGATTGCTGTACACCAGTGGAACCCCCATCCAACCCATCATGTAGCTCAGTTGGTAGAGCATGGCGCTTGCAACGCCAGGGTTGTGGGTTTGTTTCCCACAGGGGGCCAGTATGAAAATGTATGCACTCACTAACTGTAAGTCGCTCTGGATAAGAGCGTCTGCTAAATGACGTAAAATGTAAAAACTTGAAGGAGCTGGAGCAGTTTTGCCTTGAAGAATGGGCAAAAATCCCAGTGGCTAGATGTGCCAAGCTTATAGAGACATACCTCAAGAGACTTGCAGCTGTAATTGCTGCATAAGGTGGCTCTACAAAGTATTGACTTTGGGGGGGGGGGGGGGGGGGGGGGTGAATAGTTATGCACGCTCAAGTTCTGTTTTTTTGTCTTATTTCTTGTTTGATTCACAATAAAAAATATAGTGGTAGGCATGTTGTGTAAATCAAATGATACAAACCCCCCCAAAATAAATTTTAATTCCAGGTTGTAAGGCAAGAAAATAGGAAAAATGCCAAGGGGGTTGAATACTTTCGCAAGCCACTGTATGTGTATGGTGATGGAATCAAACAGAAAGGGGCATGCTGGTGATGCTTAAACCTAAATTAATCTTGATCAAGGTATTCAATATGAAGGTCCTATACAGATTTTAGAAAATGTCATTGTTAGTATTTTCTGACGTTTTTATTTATGTAACATGACTGTTCTGCAGGCAGGTCACATCACAGCGTCTTACTTGGTGTATAACCTGCTGTGCCATTCTTCCCTTCAGAGATGGTGTATGATGATGTGTTCTCCGTGTGGGAGACCATCTGGGCGGCCACGTATACCTCCTCCACTCATTTTGTTCTCTTCATCGCTCTGGCACTGGTGGAGATGTACCGAGACATCATCCTGGAGAACAACATGGACTTCACTGACATCATTAAGTTCTTCAACGGTGAGGCTAAAGGATGATGTTAGATGTTGTTATGGAATGGAATATTTGATAATTCAGTTATTTCATTCATTTCATTGCCACTTTCTTTTTGCTTGCTGAATGTATGTTTTGAATGTAGCAACTGCTTTTATTGTGCTTGCTAACAAAGGCAAAAAGCATAACTCCATAGGCTGCACTCATATGTAAATCAACACAACCAATTAGGTTATTGTAACACAGTGTGTTTGATTTGATTTCCCTCTTCAGAAATGGCTGAGCATCATAACGTCCCACAGGTCCTAACAATGGCTCGAGACTTGGTCCTCAAAGTGCAGACTCTCATAGAAAACAAGTAATCCTCCATGTGTCTGTTCTTCTCCCTTACACTCAGTGTGCAAAATGTTGACAATATGTTAACTTGTATTTGTATGAAAGCTAAACCAACAATTGACAAATGCAGAGTAGTCAGTATTTCATTGCTTCTAAATAATTATTTTTATTTCTGAAATCATCAGGTGACCCATACTGAAAATATTATCACACTACAATAATTGCACAACACAGTATTTCTGTGTCTCAGTCTCTAAAAGCACTTTCCTATGTTCAGGTAATTAACATTATAATCAATACGTTTTAATAAATGTAATTGTTCACATAGTGAATGTACCCTTTTAAAAACAAGAACTATTTTGCATATTGCTTCAGGATGGTTTTGTATTTGTTTTGCCTTAAATTGAGCTATTTTGTGCAGGGATATTCTCAATATGATAACCAAATGAGGTCTTGTTTGTACATTGCCATCCGACACTTCCCATCAGTTAGAACCATTCACAGAGTAGAGGTACAGCCAAAAAGCCTGCACCCCTCCAACATGGCAGCCAGTATTTTTGTATTAGTGCTTAAATCGGTCTCTTCATTATATCTTCTCCTGATCGGCTAAATGTCTGTGTGTATTGCTGTTGTACTGTAATGTTAACTGTAAAAGTATTTGTAACACATAGGCTAATGTTCAAAAGTATCTGTGAGTATAACAATGTAGCTATATTGTTTCATATCAGATATGTACACACGTCGGCTACTGTACATGTGATTTGTCGCTTGACAATAACAATTAATAAACCGTCAAACATATATAAGCAAAGGAGAAAAATACTCGTATTTTTTCAATGTATTCTTGAACTGTTTATTGTTGTTATTACTTTGCTGTGTATTAAACAATCCGTATATTTGGGATTCAGCATTGTGTAAACTTTGGTTTAATTCATTGCACTTCACTCCGTGTTGTCTTTGGTAAAGCCACGTTTGCCTGTAGCCAAAGTGTGCTGTAGGGTCGTCACTATCACAACTCAGGTTATGCAGACATAGGAGGCGGCTGGTTCGGTTCTCAGAATATTTATTATCACAAAGGGTCAAGCAAAACGGCAGGTCGAGGGCAAGCAGAGGTTTGTAATCCAGGGCAGAGTCAACAAGGGACAGAACGGCAGGCAGGCTCAGGGTCAGGGCTGGCAGAAAGGTCGGAATCGGGAAGACTAGTGTCACGATCGTCATTAATTGAGGAGGACCAAGGCGCAGCGTTGAATGCGAAAATTTTTATTTAAAGAATGATCACACGATCAAAACAACAAAACGAAAACGTAACGTCCCTGGTTACAAACACGAACCAACACGGAACAAGAAACCACAAATAATGAATGCCTAACGGCTACCTAAGTATGACTCCCAATCAGAGACAACGAGCTACAGCCGTCTCTGATTGGGAGCCACCCTGGCCAACATAGAATTACAACAACTAGAACATAAACAAATGAAAACTCACACCCTGGCTCAACATACTAGAGTCCCCAGAGCCAGGGCGTGACAACTAGAAAACAAAACTAGAGAGAAGGTAACACACAGAAAAAACGCTGGAACGACTTGACGAGGCAAGATGAACTGGCAACAGACAAACAGAAAACGCAGGTATAAATACACAGGAGATAATAGGGAAAATAGGAGACACCTTGTGGGGGGATAGAGACAAGCACAAGACAGGTGAAACATATCAAGGTGTGACAGACACTAGTTATCACAGCCATAAAGTCATCATTATGTCTAAACCTGCCTATTTCTACAATTTATCTTCTGTTGCATTCTATTTTTCTCATAATTGGATCTGTATGTGATGAATAGCTTGGAAGGAATGCATTAATGAGGAGCATAGGTTTGAACTGTACTGATATGGATTGTTTCACATAGCAGTCTGTGATTCATGTGGGGAACGTTAGGGGCTAGGATGAGATAAGACTTGTATTTCTCACAGATACGAACACTCTCTCTTTGTTGTCTGTGAAACCGTCCTTGAACGTGGGTACATGGAGTACAGTGGAATGGTGTCTTTTGGGTGCTGACTCCACAGGTTGTTATGATAAACTTGTGCCTGGCAACAGTGTGCAACAAATGAAGCGCCGAGGAGTTGGGACCAACCCCTGCGCCAACGGATTGGCTGAGTAAAGTCTAAACCACACTCAGTCCTTTACTCTGATTGGCCAACAGAAGAGGTGGGAACTATCTGTCAGAGTATTTGAGAAATAACCTGAAAACAATGTGTTAGTTCTCTGAGTGCCCTGCGAGGTATTTCAGTGGACCCGTATATATGAACCTTCATACTTATCATACATACATTTTGCATATAATAAATTAAGCTTGGATTGAAGATCTCTTGATTCTTATTCCAATACCAGATTTGAATTACGCAATTTCTAACACTTCTTAAAATCTGATTTTAAACCTAACTATAATCACACTGCTAACCTTATGCCTAACGCAAACCTTAAATTAAGGCCAACAAGCAAATTTTTTGTGCGCCAATTTTGACCTTGTGGCTGTGGAATCTAGACTTTGTGGCTGTGTTATCTAGTGGAAACCATGCTGGTGTAGACAAAGATACACTACATGACCAAACGTTTTTGGAAACCTGCTCGTCGAACATCTCATTCCAAAATCATGGGCATTAAGTTGGTCTGCCCTTTGCAGTTATAACAGCCTCCACTCTTCTGGGAAGGCTTTCCACTAGATGTTGGAACATTGCTGCGTGGTCTTGCTTCCATTTAGCAGAAAGAGCATTAGTGAGGTCAGGCACTGATGTTGGGCGATTACGCCTGGCTCGCAGTCGGCATTCCAATTCATCCCAAAGGTGTTTGATGGGGTTGAGGTCAGGGCTCTGTGCAGGCCAGTACAGCCCCAGACCATTACTCCTGATCCACCAAACTTTATAGTTGGCACTATGCATTCAGGCAGGTAGTGTTCTCCTGCCATTCGCCAAACCCAGATTTGTCCGTCGGACTGCCAGATGGTGAAGCATTATTCATCACTCCAGAGAACGCGTTTCCACTGCTCCAGAGTCCAATGGCGGCAAGTTTTACACCACTCCAGCCGACGCTTGGCATTGCGCAAAGTGATCTTAGGCTTGTGTGTGGCTGCTCTGCCATGGAAACCCATTTCATGAAGCTCCCAACGAACAGTTCTTGTGCTGACGTTGCTTCCAGAGGCAGTTTGGAACTCGATAATGTGTGTTGCAACCGAGGACAGACGATTTTTATGCACTACGCGCTTCAGCACTCGGCGGTCCTGTTCTGTGAGCTTGTGTGGCCTACCACTTTGCAGCTGAGCCGTTGTTGCTCCTAGAAGTTTCCACTTCACAATAACAGCACTTACAGTTGACCGAGGCAGCTCTAGCAGGGCATACATTTGACTAACTGACTTGTTGGAAAGGTGGCATTGAAAGTCACTGAGCTCTTCAGTAAGGCCATTCTACTGCAAATGTTCGTCTATGGAGATAGCATGGCTGTGTGCTCCATTTGATACACCTGTCAGCAATGGGTATGGCTGAAATAGCCGAATCCACTAATTTGAAGGGGTGTCCACATACATTTGTATATATAGTGTATTTATAACTAACTAGATGGTAACTTTACAAGTAAAGTTGTGGGGCTTGCTTAAGCTCTTTAACAGTATTTTTGTGGTGGTCGTAGAAGTTAAAAACATTTAACTTTACTATTTAAAGCAAAACAGTTTTAAAGTATGTATGGTTTTCAAAAATGTTATAGTAGTAGTTGTGACTGGTTATAGTTGAAAAAGTAGGTAGATGAAAAGTTAGAATAGCCTGAACATATGAAAGTTGGTTTGTTGTATCTAGCTTGACAATCCAAGATGGCGAAGTAGTGCAGTTCTGTTTTTGTCGTGTGTCTGTAAATAGCCTGTAAATACCCTGTTTTTTTTGTATTTTTCGTACATATTTCCCTATCAGACTTTTCATCCTTCTACAAAATATACTTTCCTGCAACCCGCCTCACTCAATGTGGAACGGATTCTATTATTGACTTACCTTTTATATAGAATCTCCAGTTGAAACTAGCTAGCCAGCTAACTAGCTACTTGCTATTAGCCACAGTTAGCGGTATTTCACCCAGAACATTGGATTTATTTTTCTGTGGGATTAATTTAATCACTGGATATTAATCACCGGATATTCGGCCAGTCTGCACAGCGCGTTATCGACCCAGAACATATCAGTTTTTCTGCCGGAATCACTGAATCACTGGACCTTTAACTCCGGATTCATCGCTACCAGCTAGCTTCAACTAAATGGACGCTGTGGTCTGGCTAATCATCCTGAGCTAGGCCCATCTCCCGGCTATCTACCTCTCTGTCAACCGGACGGGACCACCTAGTGTTGACACGGATCCCCGCCGATCCTACACGACTGGTCTGCCGACGAAATCGTCTGATGTGGTTACGACGACGTCGACCACGAAGATTCCATCTGCTAGCCCCGGCCCGCTAGCACACGCTAGCCGTGGCCTCTTACCTGCTAGTGCTTTAGCAGCCTCCGAACTATCCTATTGCTGTTCACCGGACCTTATGATAACTCAGCTATACAGCTGATGTCTGCTGGACTGTTCCTTTTTACGGTACTACATCCTGTTTATGTTTAGCCTCAGCCCAAACATGGTTAGCTTATTGTTGTTTCGGTTATTTCTAATTGTACTATTTCACTGTAGATCCCCCAGCCCAGCTAAACCTGCCTTAGATAGCTCCTTTGTCCCACCCCCCATACACGCAGAGACCGACTCAATTGATGCCTCTAGTGATACTATCTCTTTCATTGTTACCCAACGCTTAGGTTTACCCCCACTTTACTCATATCCTTCCATATCCTTGTCTGTACATAATGCCCTGAATCTTTTCTACAACACCCGGAAATCTGCCCCCTTTATTCTATGTACCCAACGCACTAGAAGACCAGTTCTTAAAGCCTTTAGCCGTATCCTTATTCTAGTCCTCCTCTGTTCCTCTGGTGATGTAGAGGCTAACCCAG